TAAGCGGATTGGCTTTGAGATTGCCCAGGCGCCGACCGTGGAAACGGGGCCGAGATTCTTGCCCAATGGTCTTTCATCATACGAGTTGTTCGCAACTTCTGCAGCAACTCGGTTGCCAAATGAGTCGGACGTATTTATCACCAGACAACCAACAACCCACACATACGGTCCGTGAGTCGGCGAGCCGTTGACGCCTATCGGTGGGCGTTGACGTCCAAGGTTGAGAGCATGCACAGGTACTGTTGTATTGAGTGCATTTCCCGACTTGCATCCCAGGCGCGAAAGGGTTAACATAAACATGGCTCCAACAACAATGTAGTTTCCAGAGTTCCAGCACTTCGGTAGTCACTCTGTACTTGTACTACTAGTACTGACAATGTGCACCGATATGACCTAAACACACAGCACCGACGATGCACAACCGTCTACAAGCTACATGAACGTTCGTGACGCGCAACCTGTCAGTAGAGCTACTACAAGTTGCATGGGCAGCCACTCAGCGGCCGAATCAACGTGGACAAATCTTGGACACGATTTGTCGGCGCGACTTTTGACTAATTTTTAGGACGGATACTCGTGGTGATGACGCAGCATGTATGTCGCTGCAAGGTGCCACTCTGCAGCAAGCCGGCGCCGCGTCGGAAACTGGCTCCTCACACAAGCTCGGGCCGAGCGCGTTTGGTGGGCGGACTAAAGTACGACTACATTTGCACGGGCTGACAGGAGACGCGCTGTTTTAATTTCGGCATCGCGGCATGGCACATGCCACTCGAATCTGGCGGCCAACGTGGCGGCCAACGGCATCTGGTCGTTTCACGTTTCGAGCGGCGGCTGGTTGAAGCTCGGATCTGTTTATTAAATCCCAAGTATATTAATAAAACAACATGCCAATTCATCATACAGTAGCTTAAATAAAGTTGTCCAACGCTAAAAAAAGAGCTTGTCGTTTGGGCGACGAGGCTTTATTATTTCATTCGCTTTTTAAAAACAGCGTGATATTATTCCGATCCAAACGCCACTTTTATACAAAACACAAGGCATTGGCTGGCGTTGGCCTTTGAAAAATATATTAAAATATACACCACCGACCAATAAAATGACACCGACCACAAGGGTCGGGCAGTCATTTGTCACCGGGTGATTGAGGTCAAGCGCCTTGCCCCGCCGTCCCGTCGCCGCCCGTCGCTCATCATGGTCGCTGCCTGGAAGAGGCTGCTCCTCGCCGGCGCCGCCATCGTCGCGGCCTACGAATGCCCCAACTCGTGCGGGACGCCGTCCGGGCTCGGCTTTTGCAAGTACATTGACTTTCCGACGTGCCGTCTCCAAGAGTCGTGGGACGACCAAGACGTGCTCGCCGCCAAGGCCTTCATGGCGCTTGTCGCGCCCACGAATGCATCGACGTACCTCGACGACGACGGCCATTTCGCCGGTTTTGACAACGTGGTCGCGACGCAGCACGCGTTCTTGCTCAACACGACGCACGACTGCCATGTGCTCTTGCGCCGCATCCAGTGTGGCCTGCACTTTCCCGTCTGCGAGATTGGGAGCGAGTTTAGCCGCATGTGCTACAAGTCGTGCCGCGACACGGTCAAGCTCAAGTGCCCGGCGCTCATTGGCATTTGTGACAAGGAAGACCCGGCGCTCTTTGAGACGGACAACAAGTGCTTCCAAGTGAGCTACGCGGGGCCCGCGGTGGGCATGTGGATCGCCGGCTTTTCGATCTCGCTCGTCTTTTCGATCCTCAACTCGGTTGGCATCAACCTCCAAAAGTACTCGCTCACGCAAAACGACAAGCTGGGCACGCAGAAAGGGTCGTTCCAGCAGCCCATGTGGGTGCTCGGCCTGGTGTTTGTGTGTCTCGGCTCGATCCTCGACTTTGTAGCCTTTGGCATGGCGCCCCAAACGCTCCTCGCGCCCCTCGCCGCGCTCTCGCTGGTCTGGAACATGCTGATCGCGCCATTTTTCCACAAGGAAAAGGTCACGCGCCGCAACCTCGTCGCGACGTGCATCATCTTTGTCGGCGTGACGCTCACAGTGATTTTTGCGGGCCACTCGACGCCAGCGTACGACCTCGAAGACCTCATCAAGCTCTACCAGACGCCCGTCATGTACTTTTACATTGTGAGCGTCGTCCTCTTCCTCGTCTCGCTCTTTGCAGCGACGCGCTACATTGAGACCAACCACGTGTACGAAGACGGCCTCTTCCACATCGTCTGCTACGGTGGCATCGCGGGCACCTTTGGCGGCCAGTCGGTGCTGCTGGCCAAGTCGACGGTCGAGCTCCTCAAGTCGGCGATCTGGGGCGACGGCGCCGATGCGTTCAAGCACCCGGCCACATACGCCATCATTACGGGCCTCGTCGTGTGTCTTCTCTGCCAGATCACGTTTCTCAACGGCGGTCTCAAGCGCTTTGACGCGCTCGTCGTCATTCCCGTCTACCAGAGCTTTTGGATTCTCACCAGTGTCCTCGGCGGTATCATGTACTTTGAAGAGTACATCTCGATGACGCAAACCGAGATGGTCATGTTCACCATGGGCGGCGTCATTACCATCTCTGGTATCATCTACCTCCTCCAGGACGCCCAAGGCTCAAGTGCGCCCAGCGGCAAGTACCTCGAACTCGCCAACGTACGATCGTCGATGCCTCTTCAAACGAGATCGCTGATGCGACACTGTAGGCGGCGACTCCGTCAGACGCGTGGAACGCCGACGACTCGGACGAAGAGGTGCACCAGCAGCAGCTCGACGACGACCTTGAAGATCCGCACGGGTCCCCGACCAACCGCCAGACCCAAGTGTCGCCCACCGACGGTCTCTTCAACGACAACGATGGTGACGCGACCAAGAAGACCAAGGCGGTGACGAGTCCACGCAGCGAGTTTATCTGAGTGTGACGCTCTTCCGATCGGCTTGTGTATAGTAGGTCTACAGCTAGTCATAATAAATCCTTCCACATTGCACAGTTGTCTTCAAGCTTTGTCTTCATCGTCAACCTTGCAGCGTCACCGCTCGACGTCACTGGTGCTGCTTGGAGGCGTGGTGATAGGCTACGCATGTCGCAGGACGTATTTTTATTCCAATGTTTTATTCCGACTTGATGTTTGTATGCAATCCCATGCAACCCATTGAATGGGCCTCCGAAAGGTCGATCCTTGTTGCACTTTCTGCGATGCCACCGCGGGCGCTCGGCGGCGTCGCGCTGGCCGCCATCGCCTTGGTGCTGCTCGCGATCCTGCAGCGCCACGAGGCTGACGCGAGCGAGAGCCTCCTCAGTATTAGCCAGACGGGCGCATGCATCTCGGTGCTGAGCACGCTCGGTATCATTTGCAGCTACCGGTACTCGAACGACAGTCGGTTCCGGCGCCATCCCAACTCGCTCTTGTACTGGAAGGCGATGACGGACCTTGCCTACTCGGTACCGTACCTGCTCGGGTATGTGGCCAAGACGACGTCCGATACTGCGCTTGTGTGGATCGTGCTGCCGCACAGCCTCGCGTACAGCTCCGAGTGCTGGTTCTTCCTCATGGCCTATGACCTCTACAAAAGCGGCACGAATCCCTTTACAAACACGACAAGGCGCCTGCGCTGGTACCATGCGCTGGCGTGGGGCGTCGGTCTTCTTGCTGCGATAGCGCAGTGGTACGTCATTCCGGCCTATGCGCTCCAGGACGTGGAGGACGACGACAAGTCGGCCATCCGCATCGTCTACTACCTCTTTGTCGTTCTCTGCGTCGCGTCGGCCGCCGTCTTTATCGTGCTCGAGAAGCTCTCGCAGCCGCTCGGCGGCATCACCGAGGCGCTCAAGACGCGCAAAGCCATGCTCATCGCTGCGCGCACGTACACGACGGCGTATGTCATCTACCAGCTGCTCTTGATCGTGCTCTGGGTGCTGCTCGCATTTGCGTCGCCACGTGGCACGGTCGAGTGGGCGCGGGCTCGGTATCTCGCCAAGCTCCTCACGGGCGCGCGCGGCTTTATGGACCTCGTGCTGTGGTTCTCGATCAACCGGCGGCGGCCGGCGTCGCGCCGGTCAACCTCTGCGTCGCGCTCGAGCTCGAGCGAACTCGATGTGGAGCTCCATCCCGAGCTCAATGTGGCATTGCGCAAAGAAGTGCTGCATTTTACGACACGGGGTATTGTGGCTGCGTCGCTGCACTCGCACCAGATTCTGGACGCCGACCAGTACCGCGTGCTCATCAACTTGCACGAACTTGGCATGCACATCCAGTACGAATTTGGTGGTTTTCGAAGCGATTTGAGTTGTGGACTAGGTTTTACGACTACAAACCGCGCGCATTCCGGGACATTCGGTCGGGCTTTGGCGTGCGCGAGTCGGCGTACCGAGCGTCGTTCTTGGCCACGTGCCACGAACGCATTGCGTCCGGCGGGTCGTCGGGCGCGTTTATGTTTTACACGGCCGACTATGTCTTTATCGTCAAAACCATCACCAAGGACGAGCGCCGCGTGCTCTTGGCGATGCTGCCGGCCTACATTCGGTACATGAAGGCGAATCCGGGCAGCCACCTCACGCGGTACGCTGGATCAGTCCTTGATCATGGATCCAAGTTGGTCGTCATACGGTATTTAGGTACTATGGCTGTCACGCGATTCAAATGTACGGGCAAAAATTTCACTTTCTTGTCATGGGCAACGCCATGGGCAAGGTGAGCATGCACCAGTTCTTTGACCTCAAGGGGTCGTGGATCAACCGCAATGCCAAGGTACATTTCCGAGGTATAGGGTTCCTTTTGCGATAAGGTATCGTCCTTATGATAGCCGACACCGCCCGGGCAAACTCGCATCTGTACCTACTGCAACGAACCGTTCAAAGTCGGGTCGAGGTAGACTACGCGCTGAAAGAGTGGACATGACTAATGCTCCGGGGACGTAGTCAACCGTGCGAGTTTAGTATCCACGGTGTGCACTTGCCGCACCAAGTGCTTCGCGACAATGATTTCCAGCGGAAAATGCGGCTGCCGGCCGAGATCGGTATCGACATACGCGCGTCACGTCGCCGTCTCACATCGGTGTCTAGTCGCATCGATCCTCGCCCAGCTCAAAAAGGACAGCACCTTCCTGGCCGACCAAGGCATTATGGACTATAGTCTCTTGCTCAGTATCCACTGCGCGCGCTTCAACGTCGACCCCAACACGATTCGGTTAACGCCCAAGACGCCGCAGCACCACTTTGCGGCGGTGACGCGGCACGCACCGACGTGCTACTTGACGCCAAGCCAGATGGGCCCGGCCATGTCGCCCATCACCCTCGAGAGCACATTGGACGATGTACAACAACCTACAGCCCATGTCCCATGCGATAGAATCATAAACTCACCGTATATAGGAAGAGTCGAACGTCCTTCAAAGCCGCGGCTGCCGGTTTTCGGTCTACGACGGCGACGACGACGTCGAGACGCCATTGTTTCGCAAGTCGTCGGTCGAGTTTGGGACGTTTGAGACTCTCCATCTTGGTGCGGACGACATGGACGACCTCGAAGAAGGCAGCGTGTCCCGATCCCACTACCAGGATCTGCCGTGGGCCGGCCAGCGTACACTCGACATGTGCGGCTACAAGGCGTGCGCGGTCGTCGGCCCCGATTACTATACCTTTGGCATCATCGATATGCTGCAGACGTGGACGTGGCAGAAGCGCGTCGAGCGCTGGTGGAAAGTACATGTGTTGCAGCGCGACGGCAACGGCATCTCGGCCGCGCCGCCGCCGTTCTATGCGACGCGTTTCCAGTCCAAGATGGAGTCGATCATGACAGTCGGGCACCACGCGGTCGGTGTGCTCTGAGCTAATTGTTTGTCCCATTTTCGTTGTTTTTTCATCGTCTTTGCCGCTGTTTATCGTATCACAACGCAATTTCACGCTGGTTGAGCGCATGGATTGTCGTTTCGTGCATCTGCATACTCTGCACATATCGTCTTCTTTTGGTACATGCAAGTACTTGGTTTAAAGCCGCTCCAAAAACTAGACTTTTTACTGTTTTCAAGGCATTTTCACTGTTTTCAGCGCATTTCCACAGTTTTTAGCTCATATATTGTGTCTTTTTGGTCATTTTATATGGTTGTACTTGTCGTATTGTGTACATGTACGTCGTAAAAGCTCAGACAATGTGGGCGCTCAAGGCCACGTACTCGTGGAGCCACTGCAGTGCTTGGAAGCCATTGTGGACGATCGGAGCGTACTCCATCTCAATCGAGCCCGGGATCGGGTCGGAGAGCGCAAGCAGCGCCGAGAGGTGCGTTCGCGCAATGCTCGGAAATGCATTCTAGCACAACACGTCATGCGGACATCTCAAACTCGCTCAACATACCTGGACGGCCTCGGCGATATCGCGGCGGGAGAGACACCCGCGCTCGCCGTCGTCAATAGCTTCGAACGCCGTCGTGAGCGCGTTCTACTCGATTGAATAAGCCAACGCGACGGCGGGCGAGATACCGAAAATTCGTGCTGGTTCATGCCGTGGACGACAAAATACTCTTCCGAGCTGCGGTACACGCGCGCGACGCTCGCGAGCTGCGACTGCGTGTCAAAGTCGATCATGCGCAGCACCATGGGCGCGATCCGCTTGGCGAATGCTTCGTAGTTGACGGCGTCTTCCTCTTCCTCGACGGCTTCGGAGAGCAGGGCGATGATCTGGATCCGCGAGAGGCCGACCCCCGCGAGGCGCAGGGTCGTCTTGAGGGCAGCGAACGAGAGGAGACCGGTGCCGTCGTCGTCGCCACTGCGTCGTGATGTAGTATTGCTACTTTGATTCGAACAAGGAGTACCTCGCAAACACCTTGTTGAGCTGGACTTCGACCACGTCTTCGCTGCGCGGTGTTTCGAGGAGGTCGTTGGCGTGCGCGTACAAGAGCACGTCAAAGATCGTCGGAATGATGTCCGAGTAAATGACAATGTTGTCGACGGTCTCGGGCACTTGAAACAATATCAAGTTGATTTCCCGACGCGTCAAGCCCAAGTCGCCATCCTACTCGCATATCCAGACCCCACACAATGATGGCGAAAGACCTGGAGACAGCCCAGGAAGGCGTGGCGCGTGACCGACCCAGCGTTCTCGACGTCGACGTGGTGCAGAATTTCGCGCAAGAGACTCTCCATCTCCTCCCGCAAGAGTCCATGCAAGAGCGCGTCCGTGTCCTCGTTGATGGGCACTTCCTTGCCTGCGTTGGCATCGTACAACGGTGATTCAATGCTCTACACCGCGGTGTCATCTTCTATTGCTTTTGCAATAGAAGCAAAAGTACCTTGCGCTTCTTGAGCGTCGAGATGACGCGGCTGGCGGCCGCCACAAAATCTAAATGTCGCCATGGCCATTTGACCTTTGATATTGTCCGTAGTCATACCCGAGTAGGCCACCGAGGCGTTCTCGAGCTCGTCGACTTCGGCGGCGCAGCGCAAGCGAGCGAGAGGGTTGAGCTTGAGGTAGTCGACCATGTCGGAAAAGGCCTAGTGAAAGTATATCTACAGCCTGGGGGGCGGGGGGGGGCAACTTTTCATTACCTTTTTGAAGTCGGCAATGTCAATGTGCCCGGCGCTCGGCGGGTCCGCCGCGCGGAACGTCTGCCAGAGAAAGTCGTCGATTTCTTCGTCGGCCATCGTCATAAACTTCTCGGTCGCAAACGTCGGCCCGTTGTTGATCCCCGCGCGCTTCTCGGCGAGGTCCTTGAAGTACTTGATCCCGTACTGCAAAATGTCTTCGCGCGTCGCAAGCTTCTCTTGCTGCCGAAGCACTTCGCGCGCAAAGTTGCGCAGCGTGTCGGGGAACCCGTCCGGCACCTTGATCGTCTTGGCATACCGAGAGGCCATTGCAGTCTATAATGAACCGTCGCGATCTCCGTCATTGCCACTCTCTGCTTTTTCTACCCGACAATGAAACTTCTGTGTTCTATCGGTTACAAATACCTGTTTGCGGATCGTCAAGTCGGTTACAAGCGCTGCTCCACGGATCCACTCGGCTTCAGCGCCGATTCACTCCACACTTTAGCACACCTCCAGACGAGAGTTTGACTACTCAGTTGGCTTTCAAACTAACCATAGACAGCAAGGATGTACTAGGCTTGGCGAGACGTAGTCCATCAAGACCATGAAAAGAAGGTAGAGATATGAGTTGAGAGAGAGAGAAGAGTAGAGTAGAGAATAGCGCAAGGGAAGCGAGAACCAAGCACATCTAAAGGACACGGCGCTTCTTGGCCGTGTTCATGTACGGGCGCAGGACCCACTCGTTCTCGGCCTCCTTTTGCTCGAGCGTGCCGAGCTTGATCTGGTAGAGCTGCAACTCGAAGCGGGGACCGCACTCTTGGAGCTCAACCTCGCGGCCCGTCTTCTTGAACACGTGGTGCCGGAATGAGAGAAAGTCGTCCGTGTTGGAGAACGTAATCACGCGCTTCGAGTCGGGCTTGGGCACGGGAAATAAATATTTCAAAATGTTGCCCACGCGTTGACCCTAACCCCGCAATATTATTCCATCGCTGGCATAAGGACAATATAAACGCACCATGGACGTGTTGAACTTGTCGAGGATGATGTGCGGGTACGCCTCCGAGACCGTCGCGCGGTCCTCAATGTCGTGGCGCATCACGACGTTCTGGAGCGAAAAGTACGCGGTCGGGCCGTACGGCAAATGACACACGACAAGCCCATCTAGTTGGTAGTATCATGAGACGTCGAGCACGCAAGGGCGAGGGCTCGCACCTGGCTCGCCACGCGTTTCGGTGATCATGACCAAGTCCGTAAACTCGTTGGCGCGCGCCGACTCGACGAGGTCGCCGATCGTGTGCGCACCGCGGTTGAGGCGGACTGCGTTCGGGAAGATGAGCCGGACTTCCTGCGCAAACTTCTTGAGGCGCGCGCTGGGGTCACGCGACGTCGTGATCGCGATCTTCGGGTCAAACATGCCAGCGTTCTGGTACTCGTCGTCAATGTGCGACTTGGGCACGATGTGCTTGTCGTCGTCAAACTCGAGCTCGCGACGCAGGTCTTCCTCGACGTTGCGGAGCTCGGTCGGGATGGCCTTGCCGCCCTCGATGGCCTTCTTGAGCTGCACCTTGCGCTCATACTGGGCGCGCTCCTGGCCCTCGAGACCCTTGCGGTAGAGGTACTCGCGGCGCATGCGCACGTTGCGGCGGACGGACATGCTGCTGCTGCTTGCGGTCTTGTGCACTTGTGGCCGGCCAATTCATTGGTCGGTGCGGAAATTCTATTTTCGCCGCTTTTGATTGGCCGCAAGGTCCGAATTTTGGCCAATCCAACACGTTCCACCAATGGTTCTAACTAATATATTGGTGGCGTTGGCGCTTTGAAAGCTCATTCGGCCTTGAAGATGACGGAAGCTGCCACGTTCCGCGATGATGTGCTCGAGAAGCCCGAGGTAGACGCGCTACATGCAGATGCTGGAGGAAGATGGAGATGCCATGGTGCTTTGTAGGCCTTCTTCACGCCCTCGGACGACGTCGCGACGACGATTGCCCACTTCACAAAGTACCTCTTTGACCAAGGTAGATCCATCGACATGCTGCATGGACATGGAGATGCATGAAGCATGGTCTAGGCAAGCAGTGTCCTACGACGCCCAAGACGCCATTGGATACGCTCTACGTCGATGGCTTTGATGCGGACCAGATCTGGGAGCAGCTCAAGTTGCAGGTGCAACCGATACATTGCGGCAGGCGTCTGACCCTCGCGTAGAACGAACCTGTGGCCAAGGAAGTCGGTCGCTACGTCAAGCGCGTCGTCAAGAACCCGAAATCGGTCGTGCTCTTCCATGCGGGTGCGGACGAGGACGAGCAAGCCGACGACGACGATGAGATGGACAACGACGATGACGACAACGAGAAGGACGACAACGAGCTGTCGGTCGAAGAAGAGCAGGACGAAGATGACGACGAGGCTATGAACAGCGACGACGACGATGATGAGGCCCCGAAGAAGAAGCGTGCGGCGCCCAAGAAGGCGTCCAAGAAGCGCAAGCGCGTGCCGGACGCGGAAGGTATCGAGGACGGCTTCTTTGACTGGGACGAGATGGAGAAGGCGGCGGAAGAGGTACTTCTCTGCGATGACGAGGATGATCTAGTAGGCATGCTCACCCCGACGCTAGGAAGAGAACGAAGACTCGATGGACGACGACGCCGAGGATCTCGAGGACGACGACGAAGACGACGACGATGAGGATGAAGATGGCTTGTTTGAAGACGGCGGGGTGAACGAGAAGAAGGCCACGTACAAGGATTTCTTCGAGGGCGGCAGCGACGACGACGCCGATGGCGGCAACGACGACGATGAGGACGAAGTCGAAGCCGAGGTCGACGCCGAGGACGCGGCATCGGACGACGAAGACAACGCGCCATCGACGTCCTCCAACAAGCGCAAGGCGCTCACCGAGGACGAAGAGGAAGACGTCGCGGAGCGTGGCATTCTCTCGTCGCACCAGCGGCGGATGGCCAACTTGCACTCGCAGATCGAGTCGCTCGAAGAAGAGGCGCTTGGCGACAAGCCGTGGGCGCTCAAGGGTGAGGTCAAGGCCGCGGCCCGCCCCGAAAACAGTCTGCTCGAAGCCACGCTCGAATACGACCGGCCGACGCGCGTCGCGCCGACGATCACGGTCGAGGTGACGCAGGCGCTCGAAGAGATCATCAAGGAGCGCATTCGCGAAGACCAGTACGACGACGTCATTCGCAAGTTTGCTGTCAACGAGAACGCGCAGCGCGAGGTGGCCGACCTCAGCATGGAGAAGAGCAAGGAAGGTCTTGGCGACATTTACGAGAAGGAGTACATGAAGAACGCGATGGGCTTTGAAGACACGTCGGACATGAAGAAGGAGCAGGAAGAGATTGAAGCCATGTTCCAAAAGCTCTGCTGGAAGCTAGACGCGCTCTCCAACTTTCACTTTACGCCCAAGCCCGTCGTGCGCGAGATGGCGGTGCAGTCGACCGCGCCCGCTATTACGATGGAAGAGGTTGGGATGCTCCATAAGACTCGGCGACTCATGCGATGTAGGCGGTGCCGATCGGTGTCAGCGACGCCACCATGGCCGCGCCCGAAGAAGTCTACGACAAGAAGCGCAAGCGGTACGCACACATAGCCCGCTGTCGCCGCTCATCCGTCATGTATAGCGACGCGGTTGTCCGGTCCCAAGAAGAAATGTCCCAGGACGAGCGCAAGGCTGCTCGCAACGTACGCTTCCGTGGTTCTTGCAGGCGTCATCTCACCTGTTATTAGGCCAAGAAGCACGCGCGCCGGAAAGAGCGCAAGCAAAAGGACGCGGACGAGCGCCTCGTGGCCAAGATCAACCCGGGCATGGGCAACAAGTACGAGAAGAAGAAGATGCTCGAAGGGCTCACGGCCAAGAACGTCACCAAGGGAAAGGAAATCGAGGGCTCGACCCGGCAGTTCTCCAACTCGTCCGAGTTTTTCACCAAGCTCCAAGCGGACGCCAGCAAGACGATCGACCAGCACCGCGCCGAGAAGGCCGCGGCCAAGAAGGCCGACGCCAAGTCGGCGTCGTTCTACAAGCTATAATTGCTATAATTCTACTCTATTCGCCTACACCAACGTGCTAGCATCCATCCTGTAGGCAACGGGGTAGGGTTATTGTCCCTGCTCACAGCGTGCTTTTACATTTCCACCGATTTCGACTAGGGTTAACCTCGTGTTTTCTCAAGGCAGATTTTGGTCGAGCTCTTTGGTTGAGGTTTTGCATTGGGGTAGCGTGCAATCTAGCGGAGGGATCGTGTACTACGTGGGACGTAGTTTGGACTCGTCGGTGCACGGGATCATGTTGCAAATGCCTATGTCGGCCAGCACAAGCGCGCCGCCTTCGAGCGTCATCTCCTTGGCGATCTGTTCGTCCTCAATCGCGGCCGTGAGACCGACGCCACAACTGCCCTTGCCCGTCGTGTAGATGTCTCTCGCAGGTCGATGGAGGAGCTGCCTCTTGGCCCCACCAGGGTCACCCATGAGGAGTACGTTGATGCCATATTCATGCCTTCGTGCATGCGCTTGGCAACGCCGCCAATCTTCATCACGACAATGTCGCGACAGGGTCACAACAACGTCGTAACTGTGTCATAACAACGTCGTGACAATGTGACGACAACGTCGCGACAGCGTCGCGACAATAATGTTACCACAACATCGTAACAATGTTACGTCTGAACATCGCGGCGTCTCCGTGCTATGGCACGAACCCGGCAACCACCGGGTGCCCTCGCTGCGCTCGTGCCGCGCTTCGCGCAAAAATTCGTTATTCAATGAAAAGATGTCCAACAAACAACTTGGAAATGTATCAATTAGTATCAATAGATCGGCGGCTCTTTCGCACCGGTCTTCCACTTGGTTATCCGAAAATCCTTGACGGTCGGGAGCTTCACGGGCGACGCAAAGAGCTGCGGGAGGCCGATCGTCGGGCAGCTCTCGGCTCGCAGCAGCTGGTGCGTATCTTGCTTGGCCTTTTGATGCGTCAAAACATGCTTCTGGAGCGAGTCGAGCGGTAAGGGCTTGACACAGACGGCGCTTTTCGAGACACTAGTGTCGTGGCTGTTGAGCATTTTGCTGTAGTTGCGCTGTGCATTGAAGAGCTCGTGCTTGGATTTGACGTGGCGCGGCGTGAGCACGTTGGCCGGGTCGACCCGAAACGCAACTTCTTTTGGGTCGACGAGGCACGCGGTGACGCCTTTGGACGACTTGAGGTCAAAGAGCCGCTCCTTGGCGCGTAATTTGTTCATGGTTTTGCTAAAGACCCCCTTGTCGTTGGCGAGCAGATGGGCAATCTAGGACATTTGTCTACATAGCACACGAAAATAATGTACATATGTCGTGTCTACCTGGTCGTCCGACTTGTTTGTGTACGCGGCGTTGAACTTCCACATGTCGCCGGCATTGCGTGTGACAAACTCTCTTGCCATGAGCAGTCGCCCTTCGGCTTGGAGCTTGGCCTGCACGTGACGCTCGTGCATGACGCGCTCACTTGCATCAATGACGCCGTCGCCGTTCAGGTCCGAGGCGGCGAGGCCATGCAGCGTCGACTGCTTGAGTTGCACGTGGAGTTGCATCTCGTAGTCGTCGATGACGCCGTCGCCATCAATGTCGATCGCGCCATAGTCGTTGGTAAACACCTGCTTGGTGTGGACATTATTGTCTGTCGACGGTAGGACATCGTCCAAGGCCTCGAGGTCCAGTTGCAGCGCGTCATCTTTTTCAAAGAGCGCATATTTCGACGAGCCGGCTTGGAGCGCGGCGCGTGCTTGGAGCTGCGAAGGCGTCCGCAGCTTGCGCTGCGTGTAGACCCACGTCTGCGGCCCGTTCTCGTCCTCGTCGTTGCTATCGCGATTGTGACGCGGCAGCGCGGCTTCGAGCGCCGACGGTTCACCGAGGCACGACCGGAGGTGTTGCGACGACCGAATCGTGCGCTGGCGCTCGACCGTCTCGAGGTATGGCATGAGCTTGACAAAGTTCTTGTGCTCGGCAATGCACCGAACAGCCTCGTCGTTGGACTTTCCGGCAAAGACGGTGCCGTAGCGCCAGAGCTTGCCGTTGTTGCGGTCGACGAACTCGTGTGCGATCGTATATTTGCCGACGGCCACGCGCATCGCAGTGAGCTCGGCGTCAGTTGGTGCCTGGCCGGTTTGCTCCAGATTCGACGTGATCTCGTGGAGGTACTTGGCCATGCGCATCTCGCGAACGTCAATGATACCGTCGCCATCAATGTCGGTGGCGATGACCGCCGACCGCTTGGCAGCGAGGGCCGCCTTGGCGTCGTCGACGGCCTTGGCGCGGGCGATTTTGCCGTGGACGAGTTGCGGCGCGACCGGCAGCTCGTCTTTGGTCGAGAGGTATTTCCACCGGTCGCGTGTATTGAGGTTCGTGGCGCCACCGGATGGCCGTCGCACGCGCCGCCCCGTCTTGCGCTTCTCACCGCTGCCGCTGTGCATGTTGCGAAAACTACGACTGCGCGTGTAGGTTGACGCCTAAATTTAGTTGAGCATTCGACTATTATATACGAGTGTAGGACAAACCGAACACAGTGTCCACTTAACGTCAAGGTAGTTAGCTCGCTGCCTTCACGAGTGTTTTGTCCAAGCTCAATCGAATTCATTTCCAACGAGGTTGCTGACGATGCAGCCATGGACTAGAGCCGCCTTGCAAGTCGTTCTTACGGTGTAAGCTACATGACAGTACAATTGGGCCAGAAATGACGGTCTTTTACGAGAAATACGGTACTCTGACGGTAGCGCGGATTGGCTATCAACCCAGAAAGTGCAATCTCGCCGATTCGCAGACTCGACAGGATCGTCGCGCGTGCTCGGGGCCTTCAGCAGCGCTGGCATAGTAGCCTCTCGCCGGCGTATACCAAGCTGCTCGAAATCGTACGCATCGAGCGCCATCTCCAGGCCGCGCTTCGACGTCACGCTCCTGAGTTCAACTGGACGCGCAACTATGCTGCTCGTCAGTACAAGTAGCCAGCAAACAAGGTTCGCTGCACCAAGCTGCTCCTCGCTACGGCCGTCCTATTATGGATAGCCCTATGGAGTCCAGGAATGGCCGTTGGATTTAACAAGAGCTGACCGACAGCTCAATCAGTCGACGCAATACACGATGCTTTCTCAGTCGATTCCATCGCTGTCGAGCTCTACTTCCTCCTCTAGCTTCTCGGAGCCCAAGCTAGCCACCTTTGTAACGCCAGACCAATGGTAAATGATCCGCCCTCGCCAAATATACGGTCGACGCCAGGTCGCACCAAACGGGACTCGCAGCACGGGACTGGCAAGCGGTCTCGAGACACCATCCCGCCCGATCGACATTGTAGCTCAGTCGTACCGTATCACAGCTTTTATAGTGTCGAGTTGAATTTGTAGAGGCAGGCTTCGTGACCTCCACCGCTTTCCGCAATGTGGTGGGCGCGGCCAAGTAACGCCATTCACAGAGTTTGGTGGATCGTTACTACTTTTCCAGTTCTTATTTCTAAACTATGGCCAACGCCGCCGCCGTCGCCGTCCCGATCGTCGTCGCTGTCGTCCTCGTCTACGTCGTCATGACGCGCAGCATCAAGATCGTCAAGGAGAAGGAGACGATGGTCATTGAGCGACTTGGACGCGTGCACATGGTGCTTTCGCCAGGCTTCCACCTCATCCTTCCGTTCATCGACCGGCCTCGCACTCATGACCAAAAGTACATAGTCGAAGTCAGCGGACGCTTGACGCTTGTCGACAAGGAAGGATACGAGACGATTTCAACGCAAAACGAAGTGCTGGACTTTGCCAAGCAGCCCGTCATTACGCGCGACAACGCCGCCATCTTCCTCGACGCCGTCCTCCAATACTCGATCACGAGCCCACGCACGTACATTTACACGGTCAAGAACCTCCCGCACCTCCTCAGCGTCCTGCTGCAAGCGCAGATCCGCAACGTCGCCGGGTCGCTCGACGTCGACCAGATCATTGAAGACACGGCGCAGATGGACCGCGTCTCGAGCCTCATGGACGCTGCGGCGGTGCAGTATGGCGTCAAAATCTCCATGGTCAAGATCCAACGCGTCGACGCCGGCAACCTCAGCCAAGTGCTCGCTGCAAAGAAGCAGGCGGACTTGAAGAACAAGGAAATCTTCATCCAGGCCAAAGCACTTAAGCAAACGACCGTCATCAACGCTGAGGGGAACCGCGACCGGATGATCAAGGAGGCCGAAGGCGAGGCGCAGCAAACCTTGTCACGCGGTACCGCTCCTCCCCTTTCATTTTGCTCAAGAGCACCAATTTTGTCTCTAGCCCGCGGCGAAGCCCAAGCCATTGTCAACGCGGCCAACGCCGAAGCCCGCAGTATCAAGGAGGTCGAAACTATCAATCTATCAAGCTTGATCCAAACGGGCGACGTAGATTTCCAAAGTCGTGACGCGCAATGGCGAGGACCCGCTGCGGTACCTCTTGGCACTCAAGTACATTGAGGTCATGCGCCAAATTCTGTCGCTCAAGCACACCGAGGTACGCATCGAGAACCACTACCTTGCATCGTCGGACCCTAACCGCGTTGCAGGTCCAACTCATGCCCTTCGAAACCACATTCCTGCAGACTATCAAAGGCTTTGGTCTCAATACCGTCGCGCCGACGCGTACATAGTCGGCTTCCTAAAACATACAACTCAACGAGTTCTGTACTTTCTATCTACATAACCTCCACTTGCCTTGACCCGCCCTCCGCCTCGCCCATTCCAGTTCACGGAACACAGTCATTTCGTACGTTATCACGTCAACTCTGCACTCGGCACAGCAGACAAGCTCAGGCTACCATCGTCACATCGTCACGCGTCACGGTCGGGACCGTCAGCAAGGCGTGCACCTGCGCTTTGAGCGCGGACGTAATCGCGAGTGCTTGTACTTGGTCCCGACTCGCTTGGACGAGCGTAGGTAGCTGTTGGAGCTCGTACGCGAAGCTCGACACGTTGAATTCGATGCGGCGGGGCGTCTGCGCTGCATGAACGAGCGCCGGCACGTCGTCCTGCAGCACGTAGGCGTCGTCCAGAAGCGACTTGGCGCGCTGCAGTCGAGTGAAAAGGCCCGCGACGTTGTTCAAGGGGACCTCTGTCGCGTTGGAAAAGACCAGTCCGATCAGAACACGGTGCGTCACGTCACGTGGCGTCTGCAGTTGCACGTGCAGCGACAGCGTCGATGCTTCGTAGTGCCAGTGGTCGACTGCTGAACCGTCGTTGCCGAGGAGCTTGCCGTTGACGGCCACCGACATCGGCGGGCGGACATGGCGGACCACAACCTCATACGACCGCGCTGTTGGCATTGTCGGAAAGAACCCGGCGACAGGCTCGATAGTAATGACGCCGAGATTTGGCACATCCATGCGATAGTTGAACACAGTGAATGCGTATTCGTTGTTGGTCGTATACGCGTCCGAGTCGCCGCCATCTTCGTACACCACACCCGAGCCAAATGGAACACCGGCAACAACAAGGAGCCGCAATAAAGCTGGTAAACGCTGGGCCGCGCCGAGGCTCGAACCCGAGTCCGACCCGTCGAGCGGCACAATACTGCCAGCGCGAAGGAACCTAACAACGTTGAGCACGTCCGCATGGCGATAGATGCATATACCGAGGCATCTCGCCAAGCGTAAACTGCGCCGTGTACTTGGCTGGACCCGAGTAAAGTGCACCAAAGGTCTCGTCGAACCAGAGACCGGGCGGGACCCAGACATGGCGCGTCGCGGTCTGCGTCGACTGGTTCAGTGGCGCCACTATCGGCGCAACCAAGTACGCCGAACCAAAGAGGTACTGGTCGCTATGGTCGTACGCCGCTTCGAGGTCGGGCCACTCGAGGTAGAGCGCGTGGAGGAGCCCGACGCCCGATGTAAACGTCTCTCGCGCCTACGCCACATGGACGAAGATAGAACTATCGCATTTGTACAAATAACGCACCGCCGTATAAATGTAGGGCACGAGTTGTCGTCGGAGGGTCATAAATTCGTGCATGATTCCATAAAATGGATCTGGAAATTTCCAGATGCGGCGATCAGCATGGACATCCTACGTCCAATATAACGTTTTGGATCTCAATCAGAAAATATAGTCGAAAAAAGTTGATAGACCTTCATCGAGTGGGTGCGAAAAATCGGCGAAAAGACCCCCCACTGAATCCAGCGCGTGTAGAGCTCGGGGTCGCTTCCGTGAAGGAACCCGCCGAGGTCGTGGCTCCAGTAGCCAAAACCTACGTTGGCAGCCGACGCCGTGAACGCCGGTTGGAAGGCCAGCGACGCCCACGATGCCTCGACGTCCCCCGAAAAGCCCACGGGGTACCGGTGGCTGCCGAGGCCGCCAAACCGATGCAATAGCAGCGGTCGCGTCTTGGACTGGGGCCAGTGGTACGGGTTTGTAAAGAAAACGTGGTTGAGCCACAGCGTCGGGCTCAAGCTCGCGCGGGCTTGGTCATGCGCGACGAACCAGTCTTCGCCCTGCTGCCAGTCGAGCCACCAAAAGTCGACGCCATTCACTTCATGTGGGCGCAAACTTAACGTGAGCCACGCCGACGCAAACGTCTGATTGGTCAAATCAAACGGCACGTAGCGCTTCGTCGCCGGATCGATGCCCATGGCGGTCGCGACAGCCGCGTACGACTCTTCCCACGGCTGGACACCGGACGCCGGATGCAAGTTGAGCGTCACACGAAGGCCCTCTGCGTGCAAGTGCTGCAAAAATGACTTGGGCGACGGGAATAATTCCTTGTTCCACGTGAGCCTACACTCAATTAGGTAGGGGTAGGGTAGGGCAAGGGTACCCGGTCCAGCCTTTGGGTTGCTGGGCTTGGTCGAGCGTGTGGTTTTTGTAAAACGTGAGGTGCCAGTCCATGTCGAGGACGATTGTATCGAGCGGAATGTGTCGCGACGCGTAGTCGGCCGCGAGTCCTTCGACTTCGACGTCGCTATACGCCCACCAACGCGAGTAGAACACTCCAAACGCATACCTAGTTGGAGCCCATCAGAAAGATAGTGCAGCCAGTAGTCGCACCGGGGCGGCAGCGGCACGGGACCGGCGATCGCCGTAAACTCGCGCAAGGCGTCCTTGAACCGGCGACCATGCCCGAAAAAGTACAGATCTTGGGACGACTGCGGGCTGTAGTAGCACACAAAGCCGTGCGGGAGCGGGTTCGCCTACACTAATTCATGAGGCGGCGGACGGCGTATCGGTAAAAGGATGTCGTGTACGTCGTCAAAGCAGCAGCCGACGGCGACGCATTCGTCTTCCGAAGCAATGTTGGCGCCGCAGATGCGCCGCTCGTTGGGTGGAATGATCGCACACGCATGCCCGGGCGACGGCGCGCTGCCCTTGGGCACGAGCCACGGGTAGCTGGCGTTGCTGAGCTCGTAGCTGAGCGAGTCATCGAGCACGACGTAGCCTCGCTTGCTGCCGACACCGTACGTGCAGTGCGAGTCGGCAATGTAGTCGGGCCCACCGGCGTGGCAGTCGAGATTGACCGACCCGTTGGTCATGTCGAGTGTTCGAATGGTGCCGGTCAAGCGACTCGTGTCATTGTCGGAGTACGAAGGGATCCAAGTCGCGCTATTGTGACCCACAGAAAGCACCGTCACGCGCAGATTGCCGTCGCCAAACGACGTGGCCGAGCGCGGATCGTAGTGGAGCGCAAGATGCGACGTCGTGATCGTGAGCCAGCCGTCGTCGTCGTGGTCGACGTGGAACGACGGCACGGCGAGGCGTCGGTTGGTCACAACCATCGTCGCCCGGTCCCGGAAGCTGTTGGTGAGGCTCCACTCCATGCGGATGACTTGCGCCGTGAGCACCGTGAAGCGGGCGTGGCCGGCAAGGACGACGGCGGCAGAGTCCGCGACAGGGTCCGCGCCCAAGGCGACGCTGGCGACGACCAGCGCCGCAAGCAGAGAAAGCAGCTGCGCCATTCGGGGCAAGAATCTCAATGACGGTCGGATATCTTTGGTTGAGGTTGGCATCCGGTTGCCGGTCGGCGGCAGCGCCAAGTGCAAACTCGAAAGCATTTCATGTTCCTGACCGTATCTTACACTATTTATGCACGGTATGTCTTGGGCACATATTTACATCAAACGTCCTTCTTGACGAGCTCGATGCCTAGAGCCTCCAAGGAACACACACCCTTGTGAGCAACCGGCATGCGAGTTCTAAGCTAGGAGCTCAACAAGGATCACCGGCGTCCGCCCAGGGCGTCCGCCCAGGGCGCTTGCCGAGATTCAATAAGACACTATTTACGGAATTTCGAAGCAAACATGTCGAAATACTGTTTGCAAATACGGGCAGCGCGTATACTGTCGGCATGCAACGACACTGTGGCCGTGGCACGCTGCGCAATTCCTAAGTTGTTGGGCTGAGCACGGTCTTGACACCTCTTCCGGCCTTCATGTGGTGCCCACGACGCGTCTGCACTGTCACACTATTTCTTCTGTTTTTCAAGAGAAAGGCTGTGCTGTGACACGCGCCGTGCAGGCTTCGTCCCAAGCGCCCGCAGACGACAAAAGCACAGGACCGATGGAGCCGACGATCTTCGTGCGCAATATGGCCGACGGCGACGTCACCCGCCACGCGCTGCTGCTGCTCGAGTGCGAGTTCATGTGCGACTGGGACCTCCCGACGAATGTGCTCGCCGAGGTGCAGATCGGCGACGCCGCCACGTACTGGCCGGTCGCGCCGTCCGGTCGCTTCAAGGCGCTCGTGCATCTGCCGCGCGTCGGCGCGCACGACATTGTCATCAACGTCGCCGAGTGCTACACGTTCCTCTCGGTCACGTACGCGCTTCCGACCACCGACCACAAGATCCGCTTCCACTACCAGAAATGCGCCGGTGACGACGGGTCGTTTGACGCGCCTCGGGGCGCCGACAACTCGGAGGCGATGGCAGTCGCCAAGATCAAGTTTAATGCGCTCTTGTTGCAGACGGCGATGGCGGCGCTCCTGCCCAACCACGAGACCTTTGCCCTCGAAGTCGACGAGGACGGCCAGCCGATCGTGCACGTGATCGAAACGAGCTTTGGCCTCGCTGCTGCCCACGCCGCGACCGACCAAGAGCTCTACGCGCTTGTCGCCAAGGACATGGAGGCGCTGGGGTATCACCACTGCGTGCGCGGGACGCAGTGGAAGCACGCTGTCATCCTCGGCTGCTCGCGCTACAACCCGTCGACGCGCAAGGCCGACGGGCACTTGGCACTCGGCGGCAATGCGCACGCGATGTTTGGCGCCTGCGGCTTGCACACGTGGGCAGCCACCGTCGGTGAAGTGTCGAGCAAGTTTCTCGATGGGACGCTCATCGATGCGTCCCGGCTGCTCGATGACAGCTGCCACCGCAAGACCCACTGGGCCAACTACGCGACGGGCCTTGGCGCCTTCTTGCACGAGCTCGGCCATGCGCTCGGGCTCGGCCATGCGGTCGACGGCATCATGGCCCGGGGCTTTGACAACCTCAACCGGCTCTTTTGCATTTTTGAGCCCAAGCCTTTGCTCCAAGGCGCGGTCTATTCGCACGCGTACGCCGACGGCAAGCTCATGCTGCACCAGCAACAAGTGGTCGAAGTGTCGGACGTCCACGGCGCGCACTGGCACCGCGCGGATGTGCTGCGCCTGCGCACGTGCAAGTGGCTCGCAGCATCGCGGGTGCTCGAGCCGAGTGGCGCGCCGGCGGTCAATTGGCGCCGGGATTTGCTTGGACCGGTTGGGTATGGCACCCACGACGGCCAACTCACGCCATTTGAAGCCAACGACGAGACGACTGCGGGCATTTTGATCACGTCTGGTGCGTACGTCGACCGGCTGGAGCAACTCTCGCCGTCGACGCTCAACGATTTGCTCCTCGCCGATCTTAGCGTCGGTGGCAACCAAGATCTCTTTGTACTGCTCGACCACGAGTACATTTTGCGGGTCGATGTCCACGCCGTCGCTTGGGTCGACGGCCTTCGGTTCCACACCAACCTCCGCACGACGCGCATGTATGGCGGTGGCAGTGGCATTGCACCGCGGTCGCTGGTCGCGCCACGTGGGCACTACATTGCGTCGCTCTTTGGAGCCCACGGCCAGCACCATCTCGGGCGCGTCGGCGCCGTCGTTCGCCGCCTGCCGTCGACCGAGCTAACACGGACGCTGCTGCCGGCACCGACAACGGCCACGACTGGGCTGTTTGCATCGGCGCTCTCGTCGTTGTTTGGCCCGACCGTGCATACTCTCCCGGCGGTTGGCGACGGCGCCTACGACGGCGACCAAGACCCATTTTCGTTCAAAGACGGACTGGGTGCGGTCGTCATCTCGTGTGCGACGTATGTGACCAACCTCAAGTGCCTCTCGGTGTCGGAGGCGGCGGCGCAGCTGGCCGACGGCTTGTACTGCAGCGACGACCAACACGTCTTTGCGCTCGTACCGGGCGAACACCTCGTCCAAGTCGACGTTCGGTCGGGCGCGTGGGTTGACGCACTCCGATTTGTCACCAACAAGCGCGTCACGCCGTGGTATGGCGGCGACGGCGGCGTCTCGTCGGCGCTCGTGTGCCCGCCAAGACATGCGATCGTCGGCTTTTTCGGCTCGATTGGCGACAACTACGTCGGGACCTTGGGCGCCTACTACTCGGAGCTGCCGCCGACAACTGTGCCACAAGCACCGACGTCGGTCGTCGCGCCGCTGGAGGCGCCCGTGTCGACACCGATCGGTGTTGTGGTTGTCGCGACGGCCACCGACGTCCAGCTTGTTGCAACGTTTGCATCGATGGCGGCGTACGCCGAACTCCGCGCCCAGCATCCGCACCATGTTGTCTTTGTCTTTGCCGAGCACGATACGCTCGTGCAAGTCGACGTGTGCCGCCCGGACGGCGTCACAGTCACTGGCGTCGGTCTGCACTCGGCCCGCCTCGGCAGCGCGTGGTATGGTCACTTTGACGCGGCGTCACTCGCCTACTTGAGCGCACCAAGCGCATATCTCTCGCATCTGCACATTGCCGGCGCCGACGTCTCGTACGAGTTTGCGGCGACGACGTCAACGACGACGGCACCAACGTTTCTCAACGATGGTACGACGGTGGTCGACGCCGGCGAGGCCAACGCCTGCCTCGACTCGCGTGTCGGTCTTGTCGCGGCGGTGGTCTGCCGCCACAACAATGGCGACGCACTTGTCGACAAGACGCTCGAGTGGTCCAACGTGTCGCTGGACACGACACCGCCGTTGACGTGGTATGTGTCGCGCGCCATTGTGAGCAAGAGCCTGCCGGACGCTGCGACGCCGCACGGACTCTTGGCGATTGATGTCGCTGGCGTCACTACGTATGCGCCGAGTGGTGACTTTTCGTAAACCCTAATCCACGAGTTGATGCAGACCAAGTGTTTGTAGAAGAAGACTCTTCTCGCCGAAATAAAGTTAGAGGAATGAGATATCAGAACCAGTAGTTTGAGTGCGCCTAGCGCTGCGTATATGCTACGCACAAGACTCAAGCAAGCAAGGAGGTCGGTAGTGGGTTAGTAGAATTAAGGAGAGAGGTGGGCGAGCGCGCTTTGCTGCAAGAGCGTGAGCAAATGCCGCATTTCGGTCGTCGAGAATGCCTTGTAGACGCTATAGTGCTCGTCCGCGACGACGTCGGCCAGCTGCAGCGCATCCCGCGCCAACGGGCGCGTCATCGTGGGAATCGCCGCCGCCGGGTAAAACTGCAGCCGCTCGATCGCTGCGAGCGTCTCCATTTGGACGCGGTGCGCGGAAAACACGAGCGACGGGAGGCAGCGCGCGCGAAGAGCGTCGGCGTTATCGATCGCAGAGTGCAGGAGCCAGCCGTGTTCAAAGTGGAGCACGTCGGTGAGCGCGGCAAGAGCGACCGACGCCCGAAACAACAACGTCTTGACCTCGGCCTCTTCCTCCGAGAAGCAGTGCACGGCGCACCGGGCGCCAACCAGCGACCGCCACGCATCATAGGCCTCAGTGGCCTCGACATACGCCTTCCACGCCAAGTGCTCGCGAACGGTGCGGCGCAACTCGTCGGCGCGGTCGCCAAAATCAACCTGATCGAGAAGCGCGAGCGTGTCGACAGGCAAGGCTGCAAGCAATGGCTTCAAGCTCGAGTGCTTGTCCTCGAGCACAAAGCGCCGAGCGAGCAGGTTGGCTTGGACCACGGCTTCGGCGCGGTGGCTCTCGTCGTAGCAGAGGATCTCGAGCGCGCCGATGCGCATGGCGTCCGAGGCGTTTGGCATCGTCATCCTCGCCTCGGCGGCGGTCTTGGCCACGTGCGCAAAGAGCGGTGGCGGGCAAAACGGCGCGATCGACGCGAGGCATGCATGCGACGGGACCATCGTGACGCACTGCGCGTAGACAGCGCCGCGCGCGTCTTCCGGAAGCGACGACGCGTAGAGCGCGACGAGCTTGAAGTGCTTGTGCTGCACGAGGTGCCGCAGGTACGCCTTCAGCACCTTGTGGCCGGCGTTGACGTCAAACACTTCGCCGGTCGTCTGCAGAAAGAGGACAAAGTGCGCGCCAAACCGCAGCAATTGCGGTGACGCGCGGTGCGTCGACGGCACATTGAGCCCAAGGTCCCACGAGAACGGCTCGGCATCCGTGTCGACCAGGCCGGCGAGGATGTCGCGGACGATGACGTCGACGCGCGACGCGACGAGCTTGGCCTGGATGCGGCGGTGCGGGTGCATCGCCTGCTCGCGCACGACCGCATTCGCGCTGCCCGAGACATCGGCAAAGAGCGCGTCCATGCTCGAGATATACCGCCCGCCGATCGCCTTGGTCGACGTCAGAAATGAACGGTAGAGACGCATGTGGTCCGTGTTGAGCTCGAGCGCCAGCGACGTCGACTGCGCCTTGAGCTCCAAAAGGTGCGAGATGGCGTCGTCTTCAATGTGGCCGACCGCCGCTTTTGTGAGCGCCCACACGTGGTCTTCCCAGCACGCGCAGGTCGGCGATGACAGCAGGACGTTGGCGTTGCCAGACAAAGCAGCGTACACGATACGCTCGAGCTCCCGCGCCTGCAGGCTCGTCGTCTTGGCCATAGACGCCGTGGCATTGGCGTCGGACAGCTGCCAGCACATTTGTTTCCAGAGCATGCGGTACGGGTTGCCCCAGCGCGTGACGCCGTCGTCGCCTTCGCACGCGCCGTTGACTTCACCGCCTGCGAGGCTGGCCGCGCGCCACGGCTGGCCGAGCTGAATGCAGAGGTCCGCGGCCTCGCGCGGCTTGCCGGCGCGGAGGAGGCGCCACACACTCGTGAGCAAGTCGAGTTCGTCTTCGGCGTCGTCGTCGTCGACGTAGCTGTCGCCTTCGCGCAACGGGCCGTCGGGGTCCATGGCACAGACGACGCTCGAGCGGCGCTGGCGCTGGAGCTGCTTGAGCGTGCGCGCATGCATGTGGCGCTTCTCGGTCGTCGCCTCCACGTTCTCGGCGGCGACCGCTTCAAGCCACTTGAGGACAGTCTTTTGAAGCGCGTAGAGCTTGTTGCGGTTCTCGAGCGCCGCGATCGCGTCGAGCTCGGTCGACGACGCCGTCAATGGCAGCTGCGACGAGGTCTGCAGGACGCAGAGGTCGTCGTTCTTTAGGATGCTGAGCTCGCGAAGCTCGTAGAGCAACCGCCACGTGTTGCGCTCGTTCTTGAGTTCGTTGAGGAGCACGCTCGGGTCCGGCTGTTTATTTTGAAAGGAAAAGCCGTGCTGCAGCGAGAAGGGCGCCGGCGTCGAGGAGGACGAGGATGGGACGCCGGCCTTGACGCGGGCTTCGATCTCGTTTTGGAGAATCTCGACGTACTGCGAGAGCACTTGCTGGCAGAGCTGGTTCGGGTCCTCGACCATCTCGAGCTTGGTGTACAGCTGGTCGAGCGCGGTCGCAAACGCCTCTTCTTCCGGACGCACCGAATGCTCCATCCATGTCGCTCGGTGCATCGTCGGGTTGCTGTACGTGTTATCGTTGTCGTTGCTCTGCGTCGTGTACGCATTCGAGATGGACGAGATCGTTGCATGGTCGTGCGAGCGCATGTTTGCCTTGGGCGACCGCGACGACGACGCGAGCTGCAAGTGGAGCGTTCCTTCGAGCGCAAGGCCGCAGTCCAAGAGCACCCAGTCGCTCGGCACCTCCTGGCCTTGAAAGAGACCTACAAAGCGCGGCGCGTCCGACGGCTTGGGCGTGCTCTGGCGCTTGGCCCATGCCAGGTAGAGCACATGGCCGATGGTCGTCGTCGCCGCGTCCACGTCCACATATTCGACCGATCGATCCGGGAACTGGACTTTGACGTGCGCCATGCCCTTCTTGACCGACTTTTCGACCGACGCCGCCTCGAGCTCGTCCAGGAGGGCGGCGGCCTTGGCCGCGCGGCTCGCTTCGGGCCGCGTCGCTACAGGCTCATACGACGTCATGTCCACGTCCTCGACGGTCGAGGCCTCATGGCGCTCCTCTTCTTCCTGCAGCTGCGCGAGGAAGGCCAGCGACGACTCGGCCGCGAGGATGAGGTCGCTCGTCCGCTGCGCCATTGCGTTTTCAGTGGCGTGGAGCAAATTCAGCCTCGCCAATTTTATTAAATTATCCGGATAAGAGTACGGATACCCTCGACGATATCCGGAAAATTGCATGTTGAACCGGAGATGATGAGGTTGAAGCAGGCGTGTCCAAGCAAGGACCCTTCAAGGACTCGCGCGTCGCGCCGTCGCACGTGCTTTATAGTGTCACGACGGCGAGCTCGCACGGCCGCAACGCTCTTCGCAGCCTACTGACGCGCAGATGCATCGCCGACGTGGACGACTAGCGACGACAGAGCTTAGTTCTTGCTACTACTTGGTGGAGCTCAAACTCAAGGGTGTTATTCTATCCCTTGCTCAAACTCGACGCAGTTTTGCATCCAATATATTGCAATCAAGCTCTATCGCTCCCGAGAGTCGTTGGATCCATGAAAGAAGCCTCCCGCGCTGGCTGGCTACAAGCTCACCTACACGACGCCGCAGTTGATACGAGGTGTTGCGAGGTCTCCGTAGTCAGCCAAACCTTGACGTGAATGCAGCGAGGCCACCAAAACGGTGTAGGGCGCAAGAATTATATTTGCAGCAGTACGCTCGCACGAGAGACTAGTTACGCTTTTGTAATACGATCTTCCACACGGCGGTTAAGACCCGACGTATCGACTTGGTGCTAGCCAAACTGGTCGGGCTCTCCAAGCTGCTCTGGAAGGTCCATCTATCGTATAAAATGCATCTGCGAACCAGGTGCTGACCAACTAGGCAAAACGACTCACACAAGTCGTTTTGCAAATGCCCTTTTGGTGCCAAAATAATGATGGTCATTAGTTTGCCCGGCTGGCGTGGACGTGCAGTGGAGAACTCTTGTGAGTACGAGCGATGATCTCCCTGCTCTACCGATGCCTTAGGGCATGCACGGTCAGCCAAGGACTCCTTGCCGTCGACGGACTCTGGCTTTTATAGTATTCGACCAACAATAATGTCTTATGTCGATGCAACCATCTGGACTAGTGCGAAATTCATCAAAATGACTGGGAGGACATTCGTGGCTGCATCAGTAGGACTACTACTCTGGGATCGAGTAGAGGAGCTTTCCGGCGGCGCTGCACGCCAAATGCTGTACCTTTCGAATGTCGATGGTCGAGACATACGACGGCAGCAGCGAACGGCAGACGATCGCTACTTCGTGCTCGGGCAGCGACGTCACGACGAGGAGCACGACCTTCTCGGGCAAAGCTTCAACAACGGGCATAAGAGCATCCGAGATCGTCGGGTGTTGCAAGACCGCGTCTTCGAGTTCGTGCCGGGGTACAAAGAGCGTAAACGTGCCGGTGCGGAAGCGCACGGGCGCCCGCAGACGGTCGCCGACAAACACGTGGCCGTCGACCACGGCGCCGCCGTCCGACGTTCGGTAAAACCCATCCGCGCTAATGCGGACGAGCGCTTGCTGCTCGACGTAGCCCGCACACTGCCACGGTGTCTGGACAACCAGCTCACCGTCTTCGCCGTCGCGACACACCATGCCGACGCTTGGCTTTTGCACGCGCACGACAGCGCCGGGCCAGAGCGCACCGGCGTTCGCAAGACGGTCGTGCGTTGGCGGTGCGACACCGGGCCGAATCCCACCGGCGGCAATACCTCCGGTTTCGGTCGACCCATAGTTCTGTACGAGGGCGAGGCCAAAATCGCGGCGCAGCGCTGTGTGCATCTCGGTCGGCAGGGTCACACCGGCGCTGTAGGCCAAGTCGGCAAACAACGGTACCGGTTGCACAAGCTGCAATAGCGGTGCGTAGGTACCTGGCGTTCCAAAGACAATGGTCACGGCATGTGGCGCCGGCGTCGACAAGACGGGCACAAGGGCGTCCATGCCGCTGCTCATGACAAGCGTCGACATGTCGCCATGCGGCGACGTCATGATGGCGAAGAGCGCATTGATCGCATACGCGTGGGCTATCGACGAAGCGAGCACAAAGCGGCAGGGACGACGTGGGAACATGGCGGCCTGCGTCGCGTCGCCCTGCGCGTACATGCTTGGCCACGAGCACGCGACAACTTTGGAAGTGCCCGTGCTGCCCGACGTAAGCATGCACACACCGCCGTCACGTCCGAACGCCGCAAGCGGCCAGGCTGGAACGGACGTCGGTGGTGTCGTCGTCAGCGCCACGGTACTTGCCGTCGCGTCGACGATTGACGCGGCGCCGGTTTGCGCAATCGCATACTCGAGCAAGTGCAGGCGCGACGCCGGTAAGAGGACCACGACGTGCTTGCTCTGGGCGGCGGCTACGATGGCGGCGGCGCTCGCGAGGTCGTTGCGAACCACGAGCACATACACGGACGGCGTGGCACCGACGAGCGTCTCGAGGAGCGCTACTCCCGTACGCAGCAGCGCCGAGCGCGCATTGCTTACGATGACCGGGGAATCGGTGCTTGGTGACGCAGCCGCCTCGAGCAGCGCCAGCCGGCCGGCGCGTCGGACGATCATGGACGTTCGGATCACTTTTGATTGGTCGCCACTTTGCACTTGCACATGATTGGTCGCTTTTGGAGGGACAATGCAGTTGGATCTTGCGCGACCATGGATCGTCGCGGCAGCACCCCGCGGCAGCGGCCACAGACGAGCCGGCTCAGTACCAAGAAGGAAGCCTATCGACTGCCCGAAACGACTGCGTCGTCGTCCGCGCCCGTAGCACCGCTCGTCAAGCTCCGGTTGCCGACGCTTCTCGGTGGTCCCGCAACGACGACCGAGGAGGACTGTGGTGCTACCTCGCCGCGCGTCGCAAAGCGGCCTGTGCGGTAACTCGGCTGACTGCGTTGCCAAGTTAGAGGTTCAAGAATGATTTGCGTAGCGCGAAATCCGCGACCATGACCCGACGTCCGCCGAGCTCGGGGCGGGTCGGTCCGCGGCCGCCGGTGCATGCCCACCGCTTGCTCGCCGCTTCGCCTCGCGCCGCCAATGCACAAGACGACTACTGCTCGAATCAAGATACCTCCCACACTATGGCGACTGTCAGCAAACCGCCCGAGACCGAGCAACCTCCACCAACATTGGACGCATTCTTCAAAGCTCACTGCTTCCGCGACCGAGAAGCCTTCCGCCACATCACGGACGCCCATGGCCCACTCCTCGCCAAGTCTCTTTACTATGACTCGACAACACCTTGTGATACTGCAGTTGATGAGGCTGCAACCTCCTGGAAAGACTGTTACGTGCTCGCATACACCCCCGAGGTATCGTCGTGCTCCCCGAATGCACGAGCCATATTGTCTGCGCTGCTGTAGACTGGACGCTTTCGCATCCGCTTCCTAGCGTCTGGCTTGGAGAAGCGCGTGCACCGCGTCAATTTGATGCTTCCATCCGGTACCAACAACCCACACATGTCCTTCATCCTCATCGACTATCGGTAGACAACCCCCTGGCCTTTCTCCAGCAGCGGGCTATCTTTTTCCAGGAAAATGCCTTGATCCGGGACGTGTGCCGCGTCGCGTCGTCGCTCCACGACACACCTCTCGACGGCGTCCATGTCCTGGCGCAGCACTGGAAGGAGCGCATTGTCCAGCGTGCGATCGGCGCGTTGCCCCGCACCAAAGCACTGCTCTCGACGCATGGCCGTCTCTTATCGGATGCGCTCACCAGTGCCAGTGACGACTATGCCGTCGCCATGCAGAAAACGTCGCGCTTCTTCCATCACCAGCAAGCACTCTATCCCGTCGCCGCGGCCTACGCGGCGCATGAAGCGACGGTCCGGACGCCGACGCCCGTGGTCATCCCCGAGCGCAGCGCGCCATTTTCGGTCCTGCGGCAGCAGCTGGAACAGACCTACTTGTTCGCACAGGCGTGGACGCTGCCACTGCTGAAGCAAGTGCTCACCATGTCCGCCGCGATCTTGCACCACGTGTCGTTCTTTTATGACATTCCAAGCGACTATGACGTGATCGCGTCACGCCCGCAGCCGCCGTTTTTGCTGCCCGACTACCTCTGTCTGCAGCACAGCACGATGGCCATTGCGCAAGAGACACTGCGAGTCGACTGGCGCAAGGAAATGATCCAGCTCATTCAGTGCTCGGTTGAGATTGCACCAATCAAAGACCTCTCAGTCGTGCGCCGGTTTGTCAAGTACGTTGACTGTCTCCTCAGTCGCGACCTGACCGACCTCGTATGACAACATTTCTTTCAAGTACTTGTAAAGTGTTGATGGACAAAATGCTAGATGGCGGCGTCGTCGTCGGGGTTTTGGCGCCTTCTTCTAGAGCCCCGCTGCACGCAGATTACGCGCCAAGCGTCCGAGATCCCCATGTCGACGATTCGGAAGCGCCACGTACCTCTGTACTACCGGCCACGGCTCAAGCCGCCGATCCTCGCACTTACCCTCATTTTGCACGCGGTACCGGGTTCATCGCGAGCCGTGACGCTGCAGCCGTCACTGGACGAGGTCGAAGCCGCGATCGTCGAGCTCATTGGTACGACGACGACATCTTTCTTGCAGCAAGTGCGTATCGAGAGCGCGCTCATACCCGACGTCGCGCCATTGCCGCTGCTCCACGCGGTGCGCTACCGCATTTTCCATTCGAGAGTCAACCTGTAGAGCGAGTAGGGACGGGCGACCGAGGTGCAGCGTGCGATGGCCGAGACCACGAGCATCATGCGGCGCCTCTTTGTCGAGCCCTTGGCGCTCGTGCAGCGATATCAAGCCTTTGTGTTGGACTTGGACTCGCGCATTTGTCGTTTGCAGTCGCAGCTTGGCGCTGACCAGAGTGTCTTCTTGCACGACGACATTTTTCATGCCATACTAGACCAGCTGGCTTGGTTCACAACGACGCTGGCGACGGTGCGTCGTGCAGTTGTATCCGGATTTTCTCTCAAAATGTGACTAGGTCTCTGTCTCGTCGTTTGACGGCGAAGCGTTTGGGCTCCTCCAAGTCGACTCGCGGCATCTCAAACAAGTATTCCGTGGCGAGATCGTGTCTTTTGCTTTAACAATCGGGTTAGGTGTTGTACGACCAAGTCCATCATGTGGTCCAGACGACGCTGCATGCGCTGGCGGCCAACTGCCACATCCGCGAAGGCAGCATTACGTCGGCGTTCGAGGTGGATTTGACCAAACTCACGACGGTCCCCAAGACCGAAGTCGACGTCGAAGCGCAGTGCAACTACATCCACGACCTCCTTGGCTCTGTGCACGAACGCCGGCTCGCTGTGCACACGATCGACGGCCGGCTCGATGCGATCGCGGGCCTCGGTGTCCGCGTGCACATAGCGTTGCACAAGGCGATCTGGGCGCGGCACTGGACGCTCCAGCAGTGGCCGCAGCGGCTCCATGTGGCCGCGTTGCGTGCGAGCGAAATCTGCGACTGGAAAAAGCTCCAGCTCACGGAGGGGCTCTCCAAAGAGAAGCGCCGGTTCGAATCCGACATTGCCGAATTACGCAACGACATCGCAAGCTTTCTCGAGTCGGCGGTCTGGGCACGCGAGAAGCTCGATGCGGTCGCTGACCGCGCCCACACGCTTCTCGAGCGCGCGGAAACCGCGGTCGCCCAAGTGCACGCCTTCATTGCGCGCGAAAAGACATTTGGCAGTCCGCTCTCCAAAGACGTGGAAGTGACGTCGCTTCTGATGCGCATCTCGCCGTACGCTCGGTTTTGGTCCATGGCCGCCGAGCTCGTCACGTCGACGCACGTCTGGAGCAAGACCCCGTTCAGTGTCCTGAACGGCGCCGACGTTGTCGCCAAGGTGGACGCGTGGCGGGCGCAAATGGCGGGCGCTCGCTTTGAGTTTCAAGCCAATCCGCGCATCATGGCGTCCCTTGACGGGCTCGCCACCGAGCTTGATGCCTTCAGCGTCGGTGTCCCCGTGGTCGCAATGGTCGCGTCGGGCAGCATGAAGCCGCGCCACTGGGTGCAGATCGTGTCGCTTCTCCCTCGGCACCACGCGGTGACCGGCGTCGCCCAGGAAAAGCTCCTCTTCACGCTCGAAGACCTCGTCGACGATGGTATTCTGTCGGTGCTTTCGGCCACCGAGAGTGTGCACAACACAGCGATCGCAGAGTTTCGCCTCGAGACGACCTTTCTGGGCCTGCGCCGGTCATGGGCCCGGCCCCTCTTTGCCCTCGACCGGTATGCACTCAAGGACACGTTTGTGATTACCAATTTCTCCGAGCTGCTCGCGGAAGTCGACGACCAGCGCCTCACGCTGCATGGGTTGGTGGCGTCGCCGCACGTGACGTCGTTGCTGCACGACGTACTCCAGTGGCAAGACAAACTCCACTTTGCATGCGAGCTCTTGACGCTCTGGCACGCCGTTCAGTGTCGGTGGCGCGCCGTCGAGGGCTTTTTCTATCGCGTGACCGACACGGACATTGGTCGGGATGTCGCTACGATGGAGAAGATCTGGCGCAGTCTCTCGAACATCGTGCGCGGCCAGCCCAGCGTCGCCCGCATTGTCGACTCGGACAACATCAAGGTACCCAAACGATACACGATCTTGGTGGTATGCACGATACGTAGGAACCTCTGGAGAAATGCTGGCGCATCCTCGAGCATGCCACCAAGGCGATTAGCGCAGTCTTGGAGCTGCAGCGCGAGGCATTTCCCAAGCTTTGGCTTCTTCCCGACGACACCCTCCGGGATCTTCTCGTAGCAAAAGATCTGGCATCGCTCGTACCGTGTCTCCAAGGACTCTACGACGGTCTGTGCAATCTCGAATCGAACGAAAGTGGCAGCATGACGCGCTTGGGTCTCCATGGCGACGATGGTTTTTCATTCTCGGCTCCGATACCGTGGCAGTGGCCAGTCGCCGAAGGTTGGTTTGAGCATCTTGGTGCACAGCTCCACAGTCTCGACAAGGCGATCCACACTGCGGTTCATGACGCAATGACCGCCGCGTTTGCATCCGCTGACGCGCTCGTCTCTGTCGCGCCAGTGCTGACCACGGTCCCGCTGCAAGTTGCAGTGGCCACATTGCACTTTGCGTGGACACAGTGCATGACGCGCGCCATTGACGCGGGTGGTGCCACGGACGACGTCCATCGCGCGCTCCAGACGTTGACCAAGGAGTTGCTCGCTTTGTTGCGGACGTGTCCGCTCAAGATGGCCGTGCTACTCACCGACGTCAGTGCGCTCACAGATGTCACAACCAAGCTCCATGGCGCCACCAACGACCATTTTATTTGGCAAGCGTATCCCAAGCACCACCAAACCACGTCGGGCGAGTACGTGCTCGACGTGCTGCAGACGTCAGTGGCCTACCGCCACGACGTTGTGTGCCACCACCGCCCGCGGAGTGCCTATACGACCGAGAAGGCAGTGTTCGGGCTCTTTCTAGCGCTGCGACACGGCCGTGGACTACTGTTGCAAGGGGATGCCGCCACCGCTACGGCACGGGACCTTGCTTGTCTTGTCGGCACGACACTGGCGCTATATACGGCAACACCCGCGGCATCGTCGTGGCGTCACCTCGGGCGGCTGCTCCTTGGCGCTGCGAGCACGGGGAGCTGGCTCTATATCACGGATCTGCACGCGCTGGCGGCGCCAGTCGTCGCCAAGCTGGCGCACGCCGTGCTGCAACAGTCGGTGGCGCGCCGCGCTGTGGACGGACGGTCTGCAAACGTGCACCCGCACTTTGTGTTGCTCGCATCCGTCTCGGCCCCAATGTCGACGGCATCGACGCTCTCTGCGCTCTTTGTGCCGTGTGCTCTCATACCGCTCCCTGCGCCTATGGCGACGAAGCGCGCGTTGTTTGCCCACGGGTTTCAGTATGTATATTCTCATTCGATGGAGAATAACGTCTTGCAAACTAGGCACTATGAAGCGCTGAGTGCGTGGATCGGCGTGTTTTTAGATGGACTACGGGTCGCCAAGGTGCTCGTGGCCGAGATCACGCTCGCGCCGTGGCGTCTGGCGCAAAGCGCTGCGTCGCATTGGTCAGAGATCTCGACGCTGGAAGCAGAGGGCGACGCCGTCTTTGCTGCCCTTGAGCGCATCGTGATGGCCCGCCTGTCCATGGCTGGTACGTTTCTTCGTAGCTCGTCGCTTCTTGGCATATATTGGTGCGCTTCTATAGATGCTGTCGTGGCTCTGCAGCTGCTCCGACGGCTTGCACCAGTGCCGTCCTTGGCGCACAGTGACGCCGCCGTCGAGTACATGGCGAGCAAGATGACCCAGCTGCAGGAGACGACGTCAGCATTCCTCTGCTCGATCCTCTTTGGGGCGCCTGTTGTCGGCAAGTCGACGCTCTTGGCTGCTGCCGCCCACGGACAATACGACATTGTTCGGCTGTTCCCCGCTGAGGCGTCGACCTCCCTTCTCGAACCGTTTTACGGCGCCGGCCTCCAGAGTTCCTGGCTCCACGACGTTGTGACCAAAGCAACTGTCACCGGAAGGCGCTGGATCATTCTCGACGGACCCTGCGACGCCCGCCTCCTCGACACCGTCATGGCGTTTCTCAACGACTATCAGCGCGTGTCGCTCGAGGCAAGTGCAGTGCATCGGCCGTGGCGCATTGTGCTGGAAACAGACGTCGTCGCCGGTCTTTCTCCGTCCACGGCGCCGTCGATCGGCCAAATCCACCTTGATGCCACCGGGTTCAGTTGGCGTCACGTGCTCGACAACTGGCTGCAACGACTGCCGCCGTCGATCGCCCGGTCGCACGGCAAGACACTACAAGATCTCGGGTTCTGGATCCTCCCGCTCGCGTGCGCGGTGCTGCCGCCTAAGCATCCGATGGCGGTGGCGTCGGCTCACACGATGGTGTCCCTGCTCTCGCTTGTCGATGCGCTCGTCGCGAACGGCGGGTGGCCAACCAATTCGACGGCCATTGCGCCACTGCTAGAAGGGTGTTTTGTGTTTGGCTTGATTTGGTGCGCCGGCGCCGCCTTGTCGCCCGCCCACAAGGAGACATTCAACGACCTCCTTCGGCGCGCGGTTGTTGGGGATCTCCCGCATCACTACCGAGTGCTTGCGGCGCCGATACCAAGCGAAAAGAGTGTCTTTGACTATATGTTTGACGTCGCCGTTGGGCGCTGGGTGCCGTGGCCGACTGCGACGGTGACTGTCGATTCCACGGCCATCGGTGTCGTCGGCGCGGCGTCGGTGCGCACCGCCTTCTTCATCAAAGTATGGCGCCCGAGCTATCGCCCGATCTTGCTCACAGGCCCGTCGTGCAGTGGCAAGTCCTACCTCTTGCGACATGTGTACCGTTCCGACAACTCGCAGCACTACATTCCATGCGCGGCGGCCATGCCCAACCTCAAGCGCCACATTGCGTCCAAGCTAGGGTGGGTCGGAGAGCGGACACTCGGTCATCTCCAGGGCCTTGACCACTACGTTATCCTGGACGACTTGCACGTTGCTTGCACCGGCGTCGACTGCGTCCGTGAACTCGTCGAGACGCAGCGTTGGCGGTTTGATTCGGGAGACATTCGGCTTCGCCATGTCTGGTTTGTCGGCGCCATGCGCAGCGACGACACTCGATCGACGTCTCAACGGCTCCTTCGCCATTTCTTCCACATTGCGCTCGACCCATTGACGCCCGACGGGATCTTTGCCGTCTGTGCGACCTCGGCCACGCCGGTGCTTGCGCCACCGGTGCGCGATACCGTGCTGCGCGCAACGTCCGCGCTTGTACTCGACTTGCTCGAGCACCCGGCGACACTACATCTTGGCTGGAATGTGCTGCAAAAAGGCCTCGACATCCTTCGTATCGTCGGGACGCTGCCGCCCTCGACCTATGCGAATTTAGGGCTGAGCATGCTCTGGGCCCACGAAGCCTCCCGCGAGTTTGAAGACGCGCTTCGGGCCACCGCCGACATTACCCGATTCCGAGCGAGCCTGATTGCTGCCTTGGCGGTTGGGTTTGGCCCATCTTCGGTCGCCCAACTCGAGTCGACGAGCCGCTTGAACGGGTTGGTATTTTGCCCCAACGCCCGCCAACCATCGCAGTACGACGAGATCTACCGACCGCAGTATGTCGCCGAGTGTCTCAGCGCGTGGCGCCTCGCGACCAAGTACCCGTCCACCGTACATGCGTCTCGAGCCGTAATCGCGTGTCTCGCCAAGCTCCTTCGCGTGCTTACGCTGCCACTCGGCGTCGGCCCGTACGTGTTGATCTTTTTCCAGCACTCGGCCGGGAGGCACGACACACCGCGTCAAGTGGCCGCCATCGCGGGCATGGCCAGCGCGATCGTTGGTCTTGAGTATTGTGAGGCGACATCGACCAGCATCGGGACGCCCGCAAGCCGCCGCCTCGTCTATGTCCCACCGTCGGTTGACGCCAGTGCCGTCGTTGCCACCGTGCTCGACGCGATCCGACATGGTGATGGGACAGACACCCCAACGCATACCACGTTTCTCGTACTACCTATGGAAGCGAACGGCGACGACGATGTACGCACCTTGTACCCGATGCTCGTCAGCGCCCCTTTCCTCTTTCAATACGCCCACATTGTGTGGTTGGACGACGACGGCGGTGACTGCTTTGACGGCAACGCGGCTGCTATTGTCGCCCGGACGACGCTGGCACCGACCATGTCGCGGCACGCGCGGTCGGACGCTCTCATTGCAGTCTGCGGCGAAGTCCAAGCGCATGTCGAGCGCGCACTGCGTCACGCTGGCGCGTCGACACGCCTCGCATCCCTTTCCAAGTATGCGTTTCCCGAGGCCGTCGAGACTCTCTTGTCCGAGCACACGGCGCGGTGGCTAAGCAAGGAACGCATCTGGACGCAGGCGCTGGTCCAAGCATCGATCCTCACAAACAACATTCATGCGCTAGCCACCGCGACGGAGCACCTCTTGTCGACGCTGGGACGTTTAGAAGCTCGGCGAACGGAGTGCATTAGTGATCTCATGGCGCGGACCGCCGCGGCCAAGCAGCTCGACGACCATTTGGACGCTCATGTGGCCAGCGCCGCATCGACCGCCGAGGCGTGTGCGCGCCGACTCGCCGAGCTGACCGCGGCGCTGGCACCATTCGAAGCCAGTGCCAACGCGTGCGGCGTGCTCGTGCTCGACTTGCCCCACGACGACATCTTGGATGAAGCCAAGCCGGCGCGGCTGCACGGCCATTGGAGTCAACTCCACGTCGTGTTGCAAGAGCTGCTGTCGCACGGCCGCGGGCGACGCCGCCAGAGCACCGTGCAAGGCGCGGCATCCGTCGATGGCCGCAGCGGCAGTGTCCGCGACCTCGTGCGTAACCTGCTCCAAGTGTCGATGGAGCGAATGGCCCACACTTCGATCCTCAGTGCGCGCCAATGGCGGCTCTCGATCGCCGATGCCAAAGTGTTTCCGACGCTGCAAGTCGTCCTCGACTACCTCGACGCGCTCTTAGCGTGGGCCAAGGTCTTGTACGACAAGCGGCGTGTCTCGACGCAGCTCGTCGACGACCGCCACCGCCTCCAGGTGATGGAGCTGGCCACGCCGCAACATCGCGTGGCACAGCTCCAAGTGCGCAGCGAGCTTGGCATGGCGAGCGCGGATGTCGAAGCCCACGACATCGAGATGCGGGCCGCCGAAGCGCAGCTCACTGCACTCCGAGCCAAGCGCGCCTACGAAGAGGCCGTTCGGCGCCGCCTCGACGCGTCCATGGTACGCACCCAGGACCAGTTGGCGTCGGTGCCCGTCGTTCTCGGCGCGCGCTTGCCCGGTGCGTGTGTCTTGGCGGCCACGATTCGTGTCTATCTGGCGTCGTGCGCGAGTTGCTTGCGGACTTCTGTGCTCGAGTACGTGACACGTCACCTTGAAACGATTCACTTTGCGTGCTCGGTGGACGAGATGTTGTCGCTCTTGTTTGAAGAGCGGACGCTACTACCACGCTGGCGCCTCCACGGGCTGCCGCTGACACACTCATTTACTGCCGCTGCCTTTGCCATCGCGTCGAGTACCAAGCCCGTACTTCTCGTAGACGGCAATGGCATTGGCGAAGCCTGGCTCACGTCCTTGTACGGGGACAACCTCCTTATTTGCGACGCGACCGAAACAAACCTCTCGCGCGCCACGACGCGCGCACTCCAGACGCGCAAGAAGCTCCTTGTTCGCAACGTCGAAGCCGATTTGCGCTCGGTCCTTTCCAAATTCGCCCACGTTAGTGGACAAGTGTACGTGGATGGCAAAATCCACGCCGTCCACGCCGAGTGGCGCGTGTATATCCAGACGCCATTTGTGTCGGGCACGCAATGGGACGAGGCCATCTACCAGGCTATGGACGTCGTGGATGTTTGCTTGGGCCCGAACGACGCGCCCAGCTACTTTCAGTCGCTCGTGGCGACGCTATGGGATGAGAGCGACCATCTTCGCGTCAAAGCCAGTTGGCTCACCTACTATGACGCGCCCAGCATCGACGACGCGCTTCTGCCTGCGCTCGCCGCCAACGCATCACTCGACGACGTGTGGCATTGGCTCCAAGCCGACGAAGTGCCAGAGCCGCCCCCCGCAGGCTTGGCGCCATCCACAACGTCGTACATGGAGAGCCTTCTTCCGACGCTACTCTTCCTCTTTGATGCCTCGTATTATCTGTTGGCGGTCAATTGCAACTACGCCGTGTACTGGAGTGTAGCCTCAATCGCCCGGCTTGTCGAGGCCGCCAAACACCGATGGCAAGTCGACACGCTTCGCGCTGAAGAGTCCAAGCGGGATCTGCTCTCGCTGGCGCGCCCGGGCTTGACGCAGGCGTTCACAAAGCGGCAGTTGCTCAAGCGCGCCCAGACGCGCACCCAGCGGTTCCGAGATCACACCGAACCACGCGACGTAGCCGACCTACACGCGCATGTGCTGCAGTCCATTGCGACCGTCGATGCCATCGTCTCGAACGACGACGCGATGACGTGGCGCTTTCTCCTGGCGATAACGTCCACCCGGCAGTTTGCACCGTCGTTGCAGCTCTCGGATGCCCTGCTGAGTGACATGGCGCGTATTTGGCGTGGCGAAGTGCCATGGATCTCGAGCGTCGACGCGCTGCGCAAGCCCGCGTCAATGGAGAAACGGACGTGGGCGATCGTGGTGACGCTCTCGCAACACGAAGGGCTACGCGATTTGGTCACGAGCGCACCAAGTGCGACGGAGGATGCCAACCCGATATACAGTGCGTGGCATCGCGTCGTGCAGGCGACGTGCTGTCTGTCCCAAAATGAACTGCATGCTGCGATCGCGCACTTTACGGCGGTCGCGCTGGCACCGCATGGTCTTCCGCCACTGCCGTTGCCATATACAATGACCCAAACCGTGCTCCAAGCCGCACTGGAAGCGACCGACAGTAGCACACCCATTCTTCTCTTTGTTGACGCCGCGCCGTCGGCAGTCGTGACCCTCTCGGAGCTCGGTGCACCGCTCTCGCTCTTGGCGGTCGACGAGCCGCCCGACGTGGTGCGGGATGCGCTCGCACAAGCTGCTGCGTCCGACCGCTTAGCACTCGTGTTGCTGCACAAGCTTCTGAGCCACCTCCCGTCGCTCAGCCTCGCGTGGCAAGAGCAGCGCGACCAAGACAAGACTAGCGAGAAGCACCGTCTCATGCTCTGTTCGTCGATTCATGACCCGATGAGCAAGGCCGTTTTGGCGTGCCACGCGCACAAGCGATATTTGCGACCAGTGGTATCGCTGGCCGACGCGCTCGGCGCCCACCCGTCGCCGACCACCGATGACGACAACGACACGGTTCGTGTGCGACTTTGCACTCTTCACGTCGTGCTACTGGTCCTCTCTGCGAAATTCGTTGACGTCACTCATGTGTCTTTAGCGCCAACAACACGTCTTCTTCGCCCCCGTCGTCCCAGTGGACGCATCGGCGCTGGCCATGGCCATGCGTGACGTACTCGCCGCTCCACCAAATACCTCGAGTGCAACGCGGTTTGCGATTGGAGTCGCTGTCTACCACAGCTACGTTCCGGACGCGGACCGGCTGCAGGTCATCTGTGACTGGCTGCAATGCAGCGAGGGTCGTGGCATCGACGAGTCCGAGGTACCGACACCCGGTGCTGCGTTTTCAAACACCCAGCGCGGGCTCGTCGAGGTGTATGGAGACACGCTACGGCACGTGTGTCCGCCTCTCGAGCGCAACGACGAGGCCAGTGTCAAGGAGCTCCAGAGCCTCTCGCACGCCATCTCACTGCACTATACATTCCACGATGTCCTTAGTCTTGCCACGTGGCACGAGCACCAGCGAACGCGGAGTCCGTGGACCAATTTTTTCTTTGCCGAAGTCGCTGCCTTTGGGGTGCTCGTTACGCGTCTGCAGCGGGATATCGCAACGTACCTGGCCGACGTACCGTCACATCGATCGACGGTGCAGCAATTACTGGCGGGTTATGCGTTTCCGCTGGCGTGGCGGGTGCTCCCCCGTCTCCAGCTCACTTCGGTCGAAGCATTTGTCGCGCACATGAAGCAGCGACGAAGATGCCTCGAGGTGTACAAGGACGGCAGCAATGAATCCGAGTTTTGGCTTCCCGCGTTCGCGCGCCCCAAACGACTCGTGGAGCTTCTTTTGTACCAGCATGTGCCCAAGCGCGCGCGCTTTGTGCTCGGCGACGAGCTCACACGCGGTGCGTCGATTGCCGATCGATTCGCGCGTCGACTGCTCAAGAAGCCAATGACCGACGAGACGCGGCACAGCACGGCGCTCACGGGCATTCGCGCCTACAATGCCAGCTGGCACCCGACAGCGCGGCAACTGCGCCGGCCCGAAGCTCTCGGAACCGCCTCGGACTTGCCGTCGGTTCACGTCGTGTACGTTGATGACGACGAGAATCGAGCGGCGCTCGTCGACCTCGTCGAGCTCCCCGTGCACCACGTCGACAGCACGAAAGACCCGATCGTGAGCTCGGTCATCTTGCGCGTCGTCGTACGCCTCCCTGACGACCCAATCGACCGGGCATGGCTCCTAGCACACGCGTTTCTGCATGTCGGATGACCCGCGGTTCGAGACCCAGCGAATGTCAAGGAACACACTAGTTCATAACCCATTTATCCCAGAGCCCACTAGTTCATAACCCATTTATCCCAGAGCCCACGTTCTCTCATTGATGACCATCATTATTTTGGCGCCAAAAGAGCATGTGCAAAACGACTTGCAAAAGCGTCCAGTTGGTCAGCGCCTGGTTCGCAGATGCATTTCATAAGACAGATGGACCTTCCAGAGCAGCTTGGAGAGCCCGACCAGTTTGGCTGGCACCACGTCGATAGGTTGGGTCTTAGCCGCCGTGTGGAAGATCATACTTACAAAAGCGTATAGTCTCTCGTGCGAGCGCACTGCCGGAAACATAATTCTTGCGCCCTACGCCGCTTCGGTGGCCTCGCTGCATTCACGTCAAGGTTTGGTGAGCGCGTGACTGCGGAGACCTCGCAACGTCTCTTTCTTTGTGTTGAGGGCCTCCAAAAGCCTTGAGTATATTTCAGGGTTATTAAACCCTTGGTTGGAACTGACGGGTGCCGTGTTGCTCTGCCTGCAGACCGTCAGACCGTGGGCTCGGTGCAGTGCTGCTATAGTTGGCTACGCCACTCGGTCGTGCTGTCGCCGGCGTGGCTACAGGCGCGCGAGTCGGCCAGCTGGCAGTGTTTAGCTTGTGGGAGGAACTACAATGGTACTGCATGACAGCTACACTACTTGTCACCTGGGGTAGAATGGCTGCGCAGTCGTCTCGAGCGAGCACGCTCCAGATTAACTTCAAGTTGCGTCGCGCTAGATTCGTATCCGGACACGATATATTATCCGGATGACGTCCGCATAAAGAGTGGCGAGAAATCGATCAGCGCCAGGACAGGCAGCGGCCAAGCATGGGGATCCTCGACAAGATCAAGGAGATTGGTCCGCATGCGCTCGTAGACGCAAAGATGGCTCATGCTGCATGCGCGTCTAGAGGATGAGATGAAGCGGACGCAGAAGAACAAGGCCACGGAAGGCCACCTTGGCCATCTCAAGGCCAAGCTCGCCAAGCTGCGCACGGAGCTGCTCGAAGGCGACAAGTCGAGCGGCGGCGGCGGCGAAGGTGCGCGCCCATGGTCCTCCTTCTGCCTGCCAACGATGCCATAGGGTTTGATGTGGCGAGGAGTGGCGATGGCCGCGTCGCACTCATCGGGTTCCCGTCCGTCGGCAAGTCGACGCTCTTGAGTCAGCTCACCGACACCGAGTCCGAGACCAACTCGGTCGAGTTTACGACGCTCACGTGTATTCCTGGCAACCTCATGTACAACGACGTGCGCATCCAGGTCCGCATGTCCTCTGCGCACCAGCATCTCATCGCGACCGTAGCTGCTCGATTTGCCCGGTATCATTGAAGGCGCCGCGCATGGCAAGGGCCGTGGTCGCGAAGTCATTGCGGTCTCCAAGTCGGCCGACATGATCCTCATGGTCCTCGACGCCGGGCGCGAGGAAGGCAACCGCCACCGCGCGATCCTCGAGAACGAACTCGAGACCGTCGGGTTGCGCTTGAACCGGAACCCGCCGGATATTTATTTCCGCAAAAAGGCCGGCGGTGGTATCTCCTTCAACGCGACCGTGCGCCTCACGCGCATGGGCGACGACCCGTACAAGACCGTATACAAGATTCTGCACGAGTACCGGATCCATAACTGCGAGCTGCTCTTCCGCGAAGACGCGAGCGTCGACGACTTGATCGACGTCATCGAAGGCAACCGCAAGTACATCAAGTGCCTCTACGTCTACAATAAGATCGACGTCATCTCGATCGAGGACGTCGACCGCCTCGCACGCAACCCGCACTCGGTCGTCATTGCCTGCGAACACAACGGGCGACCGGCGGTACCCTTAACTCTCTTGGTCAAAGGTTTACGTAGTAATCTGCTCCTTTTGCGATAGCTCAACTTTGACCACTTGCTCGCGACTATGTGGAAGTACATGGGTCTCACGCGTGTTTACACCAAGCGCCGTGGCGAGGTAACGACTACTCGACTACTCGACCGACCGCCCACGGATCGAGCTTGTAGCAACCCGAGTTTGACGAACCCGTCGTCCTCTCGTCCGAACGCAAGGGCACGACCGTCAACGCCGCGTGCATGTCGGTACGCTCACCTGGTTGTGTTGCATTTGTATCAATGTATCAATTACCGTAGATCTCGAAAGACATGCTCGACAACTTCAACTATGCGCTCGTGTGGGGCGTGAGCACCAAGTACAACCCGCAGCGCGTCGGGAAGGAGCACGTCCTCCTCGATGAAGACGTCCTCCAAGTCATCACCAAGACCGTCAACCAGCAAAAGCACGACAAGAACTACAACAAAAAGGTGCAAGCGCATTGGGACAAGTACAAGGCCAAGAAGAAGGCGCTCAAGACCTAAACGACCCGCCAGTAGACGAAGCAGACAGACCATAAGATCGGGCATACGATGCTTCAACAGCCGAGATGTTAGAGTTTGAGCCACCCCGGGCGGCCCTTGGCACTCGCACTACTGCGGCCCGACGCTGTCGTCTTGGCATCGGCCGCGGTTGACGCCGATGCGGCGGTTGACGACGGCACGAGCGGCTGACTCGACGGGTACGCCACACTCGGTCCACCATCGTCGTCCTTGGACTCGGCACCGACCTCATCGAGCTACACAGCGTCCAAGCATGAGACGGGCAACGCTGACGGACAATATGTCGCTACAATGTCGTGATTGAGGTACGCGCCAAGCTCGGTCGATGCCGTTGGCGGCGACGTCCAGCCGAGGAAGACGTTGGACGCAGGTACCAGGTGCAAGTCGAGCAGCGACTTGGTCGCATCGAGCTTGGTCATCGGTGGTGTAGTGTAGAGGTAGAACGCACGCGGCGTCGCGAGGCAGCTGGTCACGAGATCGGCGACGGCTTGCAGCGGTTCGCTCGGATGAAACACTGCTTGGAGGACAACTAGACAGAATTTGAGCATTGATATCGTCCATGCAATAAGACGTTGTACCCTTATCGGGAAAACGGACGCGGAGCACGGCTTCCTGGTACACGCTTCGGCGTTGCATGTCGTCAAGCTCCCGCATCGCCAGTGTCCGAAACGACTGGCTCTTCTCGGCCGCGTCCTGGCGCGCTTTGAGCGCCTGAGCGAGCAACTGGGCGTCGCTCTTGCCGACGGTCGTGGGCGCCGCCATCGCCGCCTAGATGGCGTCATATTGCATCCAAATCGAAAATGGACAACTTGTCGTACGTGCTGCAGTTCATGCGGAAACAGGATGCGTGTCTGACGCGCTGGTGTCGACGACGCAAGGAGCGCGTCTTGCTTCTTCTTCAAATCGTCGAGACGCATCTCCGTGAGGCTTGCGCCGCGGGGCTGCGCCTGTTCGATACGTTGGTTGGACTATTGCAAATGGAGACAGTACCTGCATGCGCGTGATGAGCGGCTGGTACGCATCAAAGGCCGGCGCCGGTAGCGACGACGGCGCTTGCACTTGCGGTCGCGCACTGTGGTCGATGCGCAGGTCGTCGGCTTCGGTATGGAGCACACGCAGAGCAGCTTGCAGCACGTCGCTCGACTCGGACGCGAGGTGCAGCATGTCGCCGTCGATGGCAAAGCCACTTGCGACGAGAAACGCAATTCCGCCAGGATGACGTCCGACCGCGTCGACAAACTTTGGGTTCGACGTCCGGATCGACCGCACCTTGGGCTCATCTACGAGAGCCAAGTCCACGCGGCTCAAGATACGAAGCGTGTACCTGGCTTGGAAAGAATGTTGCAGAGGATCTTCATAAGCGTCAAGACGACCGTACTCGAGACTGCGTCAAAGTTGGAGTTGCGCACGCGCTGGATCGCGTCGTACGGTGTCGATGGCAGCGGCGACGGCGCCGAGACGGCAGGCTCGGGCGCGGCGGCCACCGGTGCAAGGGCCGGAGTCAACGGCGCTGCTGCCGGCATAGGCGCCGCCACATGTGTGGCGGAGGGCGTCGGTGCGGCGACAACGCGCGGCGGCGCGACGGGCGAAGACGTCGAGCTCTGGACGCGAAACATACCGGAACCGCTCAGTAGGCCGAGCGCCTGGAGCGTGAGCGAGTCGAGTTCGGGCCCGCGGATATCGCGGCGCATAAAGTTGAGCGAGTCGTATTCGGGCGAGAGATGGATCTGGAGCTGGGCGAGGATCGCGGCGAGGGTGAGACTGCTGCCAAAGTTGCCCTGCACGCGGCGACCGTCGACGAGCTGGACGCAGACGCGCACCACCGGGTCGTTCGCGCCGCCTCTTTTCGCCATCATGTCGAGCGTCGCGTTGGACGAGATGCCCGTGAGGCGAAATGGCAGCGAGAGGTCGACAATCGCGTTCTTGTGGCGGAGCTCGTGGCGGTCGGCGTCGACGTCATGCAGCTCACAGGCCTTGCGCAGTACGTCCGACTAGGGAACCTCTCGATGAGGTTGCATGATGCAGTCGGAAGCCTCGTACCATGGACGTGCCCGCAGTCACAGGGACCTTCTTCCGGTGGCCATCGAGCAGCACGGTGAGGCTCATCGTCCCGAAATCGCAAGATCACCACGGCAAATTGGGTCCGATACAAACAGCCTGCCTGTATGTAGCATACAATTGCCAAGCTTAAATCCAGCGACGACCAGATCTGAGGGTATTTACAGGATATCATGCGCACTCAATTCCTGCGCCATTTTGATTGGCTACAATGTGGTCGCGCGACCAGACTGCCAGCTTCAACTGCGATCGATCGGCTCCCGCTGCACCACACGTATATTGAGCTCTAGCCTCACCAGCATCAACTAAGCTTAAGCTTACCTGCGCTCTGTGTTGCTCAATGGATGGGTCGTCGTGACGTACAGAACTCGACTTGACTGCAAGTTCTGTGATGGAATCGGACCATGCGATTGGCCAAAATGCAACCTACGACCACAAAAGGAGCTGCGGCGTCGCGTATCCGGCTCGTATCCGGAGGATTTACCGTCGATCTTGCGTGATTACAAAAGCTTTTGCCGTTTACAAACCCAGCGATGGCGACCGAGACCAAGCCGACGACGACCAAGCTCCACTCGTACTGGCGCAGCAGCTGCTCGTGGCGCGTGCGCATCTCGCTGGCCTACAAGCAGATCCCGTACGAGTACATTGGCGTGAACCTCCTCAAGGGCGAGCAGGTCGGGCCGACCTTCACGGCCATCAACCCCAACGGGCGCGTGCCCACGCTCGAGATCGACGGCCACGTCTTGCACCAGAGCGGTGCGATCCTCGAGTACCTTGAAGAGACGCATCCGACGCACCCGCTTCTGCCGGCTAACGCGCTTGGCCGCGCCCACGTCCGCAACCTCTGCGGCCTCATCGGCTGCGACATCCAGCCGGTCCAGAACCTCGCCGTCATGAAGCGCGTACGCCATGCACTCAACTCGTCATCATGGCGGTAGAGCTCATGGATATGCTATGGGGTAGGCGGTCATCAACTACGCGGAAGCCGACCAAATGGCGGCGCGCATGGCATGGAGCAAGGAGTGGATCGAGCGTGGCTTTGACGTGCTCGAGGCCGAGCTCGCCAAGACCGCCGGCAAGTACTGCGTCGGCGACGCCATCTCGCTCGCGGACGTGTACCTTGAGCCGCAGGTGTACAACGCCAACCGCTTCAAGGTCGACATGGCCAAGTACCCGACGATCTCGCGTATCGTTGCGGCGCTCGCCGAGCACCCGGCGTTCTACGCTGCGCACCCGTCGCAGCAGCCAGACGCGACCGAGTAGGCAATCTACGTCGTACACTGTTTTTGTTCTATCAACATGGTATAAGCCTATGCTATTCTGGTGCCGGCTTCTTCGTGGAGCTTGGTCGCGTGCTGGACGAGGAAGCGGGTGCAGCCGACGCCAAAGACATCGCCGTGGTGGAGCCGCGTCTTCTCCGACGGAAGCCCAGACGGACTCAAACGAAAGCCCGTGCCGTTGGTGCTGCCGAGGTCGGTCAGGTAAAAGCCACAGAGGCGTTCGTCGTCCGAGTCAAGCTCGACGCTCGACGTCGAGAGCGGCTCGGCGGCGGCACGAAACTCGATCGTGCAGTGGGCGCCCGAGACCGTCACGTCGTTCTCGATGCACAGCGTGCAGCTCGTCTTGCGGCCGATCGTAACGAGCGACGCCCCAATGCGCTGCGTCACGCCTTCCATCGGGCCTTTGGTAAACTTGATTTGGAGGTACGGCGACGACTTGCCGTGGAAGGATGCGTCGACGATGCGGAACTCGGTGTCGCCAATCTTGACGTGGTCGTGCATGCTCAGGAGCCGCGTCTCGTGCGGCGCCAAGTAGAGAAACGTGCCGGTCGTCGACCCGACGTCCTGGAGGTAGTACGTGTTGCGCACGCACGAGAGCGAGAAATGCACGCGGCTCACGACGCTGTCTTCCAAGATGATCTCGTTCTTCTCGAGGCGGCCGCCACACGCGCCTTGGGGGCCCACCAGGATGCGGATGCTCCCGATCGGCTCGTCCACGAGCGACGTCAAGATGAGCTTCTCGCTCGGCGTTGGCACTGCATTGCACGTCACGGGTACGATCGCTGGTTTGGTCGGCGTCGGCGGCAGCGCCTTGGCGACGTCGCCGATATCGCCCTCGACGAGCTTGGTCGTCGATGCGGGCGCCGAGAGCACGACGCTGCGCCAGAGGAGGAGGAGGAGGCAGCAGGCGAGGAAGTACGCAGCGTGCTCGGACCGCTCGAGCACCTCGAACGTCCACGCAGAGAACCCGAGCATGATGGACGCGAGGACGCCGTCGAGGAGCATGCAAATTCGGCAATATTTTGGCAGATGGCAAAGTTTATGGCGCTGGGTTCGTGCCCCGGGGCACCATACGTGGCAGAAGCCTGTACCGTACGTCCCGCTGGCTACTCTGACGCCAGGATCGAGCATGGGTGGTGGTGCTCTATGCACCGGGCAGAAAGAACAGGCGCGAAATTTCGAGCCGCCTCGTATGATGGAGGCCTCGGCGGATCCGAGAAGGAATCCGACCACAGCTGCGCGCGATCGCGGGGATCGAGCTGCCGTTGACAGCGACCTGGGTACCAGCTGCGCCACCTCAAGACTTCCTTTGGGCTAGTGCAGTTGCTTGCAACGACCAACCGCGTACGCATTTCGCCAGCGAAGGGTCCCGTGATGTATCTTGGTCAGCACCAAAATTTGGGCTCCTGGGTGTGACTTGGAGTTATTAGATTCAGAGTCTCGAGTGCTAACGATTACACCATACTGTACGAGCGCACGGCCTGGAGTTATTTGCACAGCTGGCCTGGCGACCACGACGGCTTGCGCGTCACCATCCGTACGTGGCAGCGTGCATGCGTCGTTGGTCCAAATAATTTTGCTGAATTTGGCTCTTGGCACATACATCATCACGCAACTTCTCGGATGGCAAGCGACGTCAACCACCAAGGCGTCGCCACCAACGTTATAGCGGCGCTCATTAGCACTCGCAGCGCTGAGAGGTTGCGACTTGGTTGACAGAAGCAAGGGAAATGCTTGGCAATTCGTTCTCTTGCCAGAAGCTGCTTGGACCTTCCTTCTCCATTCGACTTTGAAACCATTCCTGTCCGTTCTCATACTGTACATGGCAAGGCGACGAGGTAGATGGTAGATGGACTGGTATGCCATTTTGAAAGAGTTGGACGACAAGTCTTAGGCTAGGATCAACTAGACTGGTGGTTTCTACAGCTAGGATGACTAGACTGGTGGTTTCTACAGCACGGGGGTGAGCGCGGCCAAGAAAGCCTCTCGGAACACGTCGTCCGAGAAGCGGCGCGACGACGCCCGGGCATCGGCTTGCATGTCGGTGTTGTCGGCGGTCGTCAGCACGCGGTGCATGTTGGCTGCGTACTCGTCGGCGGTCGTCGCAAGGTACCCGGTGCCCGGCTTGACAATGTCGGCGGCGGGGCCGCCCGAGTTGTGGGCGATGACAACAACGCCGGCCGCCATCATCTCGACGATGCCGATGCCAAAATGCTCGTTCCGCATCGTATGCAGCCCGATGAGCGACTTGGCCAAGTACGCTTCGAGCTGAGCAAACGGCGCGTTGACGACAAACTCGACGTACGACTCGAGGCCGAGACGCGCGCACTCGTCGCGGAGCGCCTGCACGCGGGCTTCGTCGTCGGCGCCGCGACAGCTCCCGAGGAGCACGAGTTTAAAGTTTGTCGACCGCACCAGCTCGGCATGGTCGTGCACGAGGCGCGCGAGAGCGGCCAGTTGCAGCGTGTGGTCCTTCTCGGGGCGGAATTGCCCGACCGAGAGCGCGATCGCGTCGCGCCCAGGCAGTGGGTACGCTTCAAAGCCCGTCGAGCCGCACGGCGGGTACACGACGAGCGGCGCGGTGTGCGTCCAGAGCTGCTTGATGTGATTGTGCGTCCAGCTCGAGTTGACCATGACAACAGTCGCAAACGACCCGACGCACTTGTACAAGAAGGCAAAGAAGCGGTAGTACGCGAGCTTGGCCTGGCTCTTGAGCGCGCTGCCGGCGACGTCGGCGCTGTTGTTGTATGTCACATCGCGCCGAGCGACGACGCTCAGCATGTCCATTGAGATCGTCGGGTAGTGCGTGTACGTCACGACGCGGGCGCCGCCGAGCCAAGCGCACGGGTACGTGAATGCGCACCCGGTCGTGTCGATCCAGACGGCCACTGGGCAGCGCAGAAACGCTTCGAGGCCGACGAGCATGCTCCCAAGGCTCTGCCCGAGAAGCGTAAAGCGGGGGTAATACTTGGCCTCGAGCAAGTGACGGTATCGCAAATGCACCACGTCCACGTGGCACTTGACGTCGGTCACTTTAAAGTTGAAGCGGTGGTGCGCATCTTCGAGCAGCGTGGTTGCGCTAATGGCGTCGCCGACGTAGATGACGACGTGCGTGGTCGTGGGCAGTGCTTGCAGCGCGCAAAAGAGGACACGCTCGCCGCCACCGCCCGACGCAGCATACGGGTGGAAGAAGCCGAGAACGCGATCTTGGCGCGTGGCATTGTAGGCGCGGAGAAGCAGTAGCACGAGCAGCAGCGCGGCGAACGGCGCCGCAACGACACCGGCGACGACGATCAGCATACTCCACGTGGTCGGCCTGTATGCCCAATCCCAGTTAAGTTCGCACCAAAAAGGATCTGCTAAGTTCGATTTTTCGACTTGGGCAGTCCGTAACTGTGTTCGGTGCAGCATACTGTCGAACAATGCCACATCATACCTAAAAGATGTGGACTCTGCACGAGGCAAGGGTCGCCGATATAACGCGGTATCGAACAGTCCTTGGGAGCTCAGTTCATGGTGCCTCGGCTGCACAGCCAAATAACCGCTCGCATTCGATACCTCTAGGTACAAATACAAAGCCCGACCCTCTTATACTGAATATATATGGGTTATGAGAGGCTTCTAAACCTGTGGGAATGGATTGTATATAATATTGGAGAGGTCTGATGAAACCGCCAAAGGCCACATCCCTCAAAAATAGGCTCGGAAAACCACCGAGCATACAAACATCAAGTTTAAAAAACGACCGCGTTTCTATTTTTATACATGTTGATTTAAAAAAGCGCTGCAACGGCTTTGAAGAGGCGTCTCAGTCGTGAAGTTGCCAGGTCGAACGCAAGCCGAGACGCAGCCGTAGCTCATGACGACCCGCGTTCGCCGATCGTCGGCGGAGATCGTGGCCGCGACCACGGAGCTCCGCCATCGGATGGAAGCGCGGAAGAAGACGGGGAAGAAGACGGGGAAGAAGGACGCATCCATGGAGGAAGCCAAGCGCGAGCTGGACATGGACGAGCACAAGAAGTCAATCCCCGAGCTCTGTGCAGACTTGCAGACGTCAGCGACAGAGGTACGAAGCATGCGCATGTCCTAGGAAGAAGCAGGGGAGATGAGATCCTATGTAGGGCATGGTGACGGCCACTGCTGACGAACGCCGCAAGATCGATGGGCTCAACAAGCTCACGCCACCACGGTCTACGCCCGAGATCGTCAAGATTTTCCGCGAGCTCACGGGCTTCTTCTCGCTCTTGCTATGGGCGGGTGGCATCCTCTGCATCGTGTGCTATGCCCTTGTCGGCGGCGAGCCCAACCTCTACCTTGGCATTGTGCTCTTCTGCGTCGTGATCATTACCGGTCTTTTCTCGTACTCGCAGAACCGCAAATCGTCCAACTTGATGGATTCGTTCAAGAACATGATGCCCACGATCACGACGGTCATCCGCGACGGCAAGTCGACCAAGTTGGATGCATCATTACTTGTGAGCGGCGACGTCATTGTCCTCAAGGGCGGCGACAAGGTACCAGCCGACATTCGCATTATTGAAGGCTCGGACGATTTGGCGGTTGACAACTCGTCGCTCACGGGCGAGCCCGAGCCGCTCAAGCGCATCCCGGATTGCACGCACGACAACCCGCTCGAGACCAAGAACATGTGCTTTTTCGGTACCTTCATTCCGCAAGGCTCCGGCAAGGGCATTGTTGTGCGCACAGGTGATCGCACTGTCATGGGCCGCATCGCCAAGCTCGCAACGGGCACAGCAAAGGAGCAGACGCCGATCGCAAAGGAGATCAACCACTTTGTGCACATCATCACAGCCGTCGCCGTGACAATTGGCATTGTCTTCCTCATCATCGGCTTCCTCATTGGCCAAGATGCGATCACCAACATCGTCTTCATGATCGGTATCATTGTCGCCAACGTACCAGAAGGTCTTCTTGCCACGCTGACGGTCTGCTTGTCGCTTGCTGCCGCTCGCATGGCGCGCAAGAATGTGCTCGTCAAGAATCTCGAGGGCGTCGAGACGCTTGGTTCTACGAGCTGCATTTGCTCCGACAAGACGGGCACGCTCACGCAAAACATCATGACGGTGGCCAGCGTCGTGTACGACAACCAGATCTGGGATGCAGAGTGCTCGCTGACGCCCGTCGGCAACTACAAGATGGACAACGTCACGTTCCAGCGCCTCCAGCGCTGCGCCACTCTCTGCAACAACGCCGTCTTTGACGAAGATTCGAAGTTTGAGCGGGTTGTCTCGGGCTCGGGCAGCGATGTGACTGTGAGTCGCGGTCCACCCGTTGCCTTCTCGGACTTTACCGTGACCAAAGAAGGCCTGCGCGTGCCCCGCATCCTTTGGGAGACGATTGGTGATGCGTCCGAGTCAGCCATGATCAAGTTTGTCCAAGACAAGCGCGACATTATCGACTACCGCAATGAGAACGCCAAGATCAAGGAGATCCCGTTCAACTCGCGCAACAAGTACCAACTCTCTATCCACAAGCAAGAGAACGACGAGTCCAAGCCAATGCTTCTCGTGATGAAGGGTGCCCCTGAGCGCATCTCGGTGCGCTGCGCCAAGATCATGATCAACGGCGAAGTCGTCGACATGACGCCCGAGCGCCGCGCCGAAGTTGAGGCATGCCAACTTTCCTTGTCCAAGAAGGGCATGCGCGTGCTTGGGTTTGCCGAGAAGGAGCTGCCATTGAGCGACTACCCCCACGGCTACGAGTTCAACACGGACAACTGCAACTTTTCGCTCGGTGAGACCGACGTCGATTATGATGCTACGCCGACGCCCAACAAGCGCATCGAAGAGCCGCTCTGCTTCATTGGCCTCATGGCTCTCATTGACCCGCCGCGCACCGAAGTCCCGGGCGCCGTCGCCAAGTGCAAGAGCGCCGGCATCAAGGTCATCATGGTCACGGGCGACCACCCGATCACGGCCAAGGCGATTGCGCACAAGGTGGGAATTCTCTGGGGTCCAACAAAGGAAGATCTTGAAGAAGAGAACGCCGAGAACGGTGTCGTCAAGGGGGACCCGGGCTGGAAGAACCCAGACCTTGCACCCGCGATCGTCGTGCCTGGCTGGACGATCAGCATGGACACACCCGAGGAAGAGTGGGACCGCATCTTGTCGCACCGTCAGTGTGTCTTTGCGCGCACGTCGCCGCAGCAGAAGCTCATCATCGTCGAAAACTGCCAACGTCGTGGCGAGATCGTGGCCGTGACGGGCGATGGCGTGAACGACTCGCCAGCGCTCAAGAAGGCCGACATTGGTATTGCGATGGGCATCATGGGCTCGGAAGTCTCGAAAGAAGCGGCCGACATGATCCTCCTCGACGACAACTTTGCGTCCATCGTGTACGGCGTCGAAGAAGGCCGCAAGGTCTTTGACAACCTCAAGAAGAGTATCTGCTATGCGCTGGCCGTCAACATCCCGGAGCTCATTCCGTTCCTGACGTACGTGCTCATTGCCATCCCGTGCCCGCTCACAACGATCCTCATGCTCCTCATTTGCCTTGGCACGGACTTGATCCCTGCGATTGCGCTGGCGTACGAGGAGGCCGAGAACGACATCATGCTGCGGTCTCCACGCCGCCCCAACATTGACCGTCTCGTGACCAAGAAGCTCATTTGGGTCGCCTACGGTCACATTGGCATGGTCCAAGCCTTTGGGGGTCACGCCATCTACTTCATCGTACTCAACGACTATGGCTACCCGGCCAACCAACTGCCGGGTCTTGGCCAGATCGACAGCTTTGGGAAGCAAGTGCTGTGGTGCAAGACCAAGAAGGGCGAGTACTGTACGCCGGGTGGGTACTACAGAGACGGCAGTGACAAACAACAACCACTGGGCCTGAGCGCGGACCCCATCTGTGGCCCCATGTACGACGACACGATTCCCACCGGTGGGAAGGCTGTCGATGCTCGAGTTTTTTGGCGCCCGGCGCTGGATGGCTCGATTGAGGACTGCGTCTTCCCGTACGCTAACTTCAAAGGCAGCGACAGCTCCCCAAGCAGCTACAACTACATCGATCCCAAGACGTTTGGGACGTACACCAACGGCTTGCCCATGATCACGGTGCAGTCGATGGAGGCCGCATGGAATGCCGGCTACCGCCCATACTACCCGTATGCTGCTCGCCGGTCGGCCTTCTTCAAGTCGCAGTTCTTCTCGTGGGACCCGACGAACGGTGAAGTCGACGGCTTTGGCGACAAGATCGAGAAAGGCTTGATCTTCGGCTTCCAGCCCATTGGCGTGTGGAGCATCACCAACGCCGAAACGGCGGGTGGCGAAGTGGCAACATCGGCGCGCCCCCGTGCGGTCTTTAACGGCCCCAAGGTGACCCTCACCGACTCGTCGGCCAAATTGACGCCGTCGACGCAAGTGACATTGTCCGACTCCAACATGTACAAAAACGCAGTCGCAGACTGGATGATCACGGATGCGACGGGCCAACCGTACTGCGACGGCGAGCAATGCCTCTTGGACTACCGAGCTGGTTTCACGCGCAAGACGGCCAACGGCGTGCAGGTCAACGTCATGTCGCGTCGCCTCTGCATGATGGCTCTCCTCAAAGCGCAGACGGCGTACTTTGTGACAGTCGTCGTCATGCAGTGGGCCAACGTGCTCAACTGCAAGACGCGGTTCCTCTCGATCCGCTCGCAGGGCATGCGCAACTCGGTGCTTCTCTTTGGCCTCGGCTTTGAGTTCCTCCTCTGCGCGTGCACGTGCTACTCGTCGTTTTTCCAAATGATCTTCACGACGACGGGCATCCGCCTCACGCACTGGTTTGGTGGTATGCCCGTCGCCATGTTCCTCTTTACGTATGACGAAATGCGCAAGTACCTCCTCCGCTCGACGTCGACCGTCTATGTCGACAAGCAAACGGGCAAGTCGAACCGGATTCCCGGCTGGGTCGAGCGCAACTCGTACTATTAGACGACGACGCGCTGCGTATCGGTTTACATTTCTCCAAATACAATACACACTGCTGAATGTTACCGCAATGCTTGCGCGGATGTTGCTGCCGTTGGCGCTTCTTCCTCAAACATTGGAAGAGGCGCCACTGACCCATGTCAACACTGACCACTGACCCATGCTGTAGGTCAGTGAGGCATCTGCCTCTTTCATCGAGGTATCGCAGGGGTGCAACTCGTGTCCAAGAAGCTCGGACGGAAGAACGTCCCGACCATCCTTGGACAACTTGTGCTCGAGGACACATCGTCGTTGGCGCCACATCGTGCGGTGAAGACGTTGTGGGACGACCAAAGATGGAAGCAATACATCCATCAGCGAGAGCCGAGCACATCACGGAACGGACGGTGTGAGCCACATCCCAAGGGCGAGCACATGCCCGAGGCAGGATTTCGAATTTGGTCGTCGACCTCACACGCGATGAACCACTCATTGCCTCAGCCGGCGACAGCCAACGAGGACGACACGTCCAAGGTCATCGTAAACGACCGCACCGAGTACCGCATTGTGTGCTGGGGAAACTCGTGGTTTGATCTCGTTTTGATTCCGTTCCAGACGATTCTGTTGTACGGCTTTATGACGGGCTTTTCTGTGCTCATCGTACAAGGCACGTACATGACGTCCGACGCCCAAGCTGCACTCTGGGTCTACTTCTTCGCGTGGGCCGCCGGCGTCGTCTACTTGGGAGTGACAATCACGGTAGCCGGCTGGGAGATGCGCTTGAAAGCCAAGGTCGCCGCCAAGGTCGCTGCCGACGAAGACGAGTTGGCCTAAGGGCCATCCACCTTGGACCAACAGGATACTGCAATATACATGGTTGCGTGAATATGTCGCTGCCTTTTACATACATGCCAACAACGTTGTGCCACTTCATCGTTGGATTTGGTGTACCAACGGTCTTCTCTCAATCTCAATTGAAATAGCTCATGTCAGGCACATTCGGTTCTTGACTTCACCTGTGGGATCCTCGGATCCGCTGCGAAGGTGCCACCTCACGTTCGCGTCCTCGGTGCTGCCACGTGGTTGGTAACTGCCATTTTGTATCTTGAAGAGTCGCGTTGCACCATGAACGTCGTCTTTGATCTCGGGTCCTGGCGCTTGACAGACGACGGGCGCATTTACCGCCGCGGCAAGCTCCGGTTCGCGAACGGGGACCTCTACGACGGCGAGTGGCTTGATGGTCAGCGCCAAGGCCGAGGCACGTTTACCTACGTCAACGGGGCCACGTACCACGGCGAGTTTTCGCATAACCTTTTCAACGGCTTTGGGGTCCTCCGCGTGCCGGACTTGCAACACCCGCTCACCAAAGAGTGGACCAAGGGCTCGTCGTACGAAGGCGGGTTCCGTGACGGCCAAAAGCACGGCAAAGGCACCTTGGTGTGCGGCGACGGCGGCAGCTACGATGGTGCGTTTGCCGACAACGTTTTCAGCGGCCACGGTGTCTTTTGCTACGCTAACGGCGACCGGTACGGCGGTGAATGGCGCCACGGCAAGTGGTGGGGCAAAGGCCACCTTCTGTACCGCGACGGCGGTAGCTACGAGGGCGACTTCCAGAACGGTCTCTTCCACGGGTTTGGTCACCGCGTGTGGCCCCATGCTGGCGGGTCCTACTTGGGCGAATACAAACTCGGGGACCAGCATGGACCCGGTGTCCGCGTCTTTGCCGACGGTTCACAGTACGATGGCGACTGGGTCGACCACTGCCAGCACGGCAGCGGTGTCTGGACAACAGCGACATTTGTGTACATTGGTGATTTTGCGCACGGCCACCCCCACGGCAATGGCCTCTTTCGCTATACGAACGGTGATGTGTACGAAGGACAAATGCACAGCGGGTACTACTACGGCCGTGGCAAGTTCACATACAAGGACGGCGGCTACTACGACGGCGAGTACACGGCGGTGCGCGTCCGCTGGTGTGTCGTAACGCCAACGCCCAACAACAAGCGTCATGGCAAAGGTCATTGGTCTAGTGTACAAGCAACCGAGTTCTTATTGCGATCTAGGTCGTCGGGTGTGGGCATCCGGGAACGAGTACATCGGGGAGTGGTCCAACGACGTCATGCATGGCCGCGGCACGCTCCGCTCGACCGTGCAGGTACAACTCTCAACGCGAGATACTGGCTATCAAGTGTGTAGGGCATGAAGGTCGAGTACATTGGTGCGTTTGACAACGGCCGTCAATCGGGCGACGGACAACTGACCATGCTTAAAATCAGCAACGCCCCCCTCGAGTTTCCGCTCGGAAGCGGCAACTACCACTATGGAAAAGGCGAGTGCACCTATACCGGCGGCTTTTTCAACGGCGTGTTCCACGGCCACGGGCGCTTTGCGCACACGGACGGACGCAATTATGTCGGTGACTGGGTTCACGGCAAGCGCGACGGACATGGCGACGCGATCTTGACCCCTGTCGCGGAAATGGGCGACGATCGGCGCCAACACATTGGCGGCAACGACGCTCTCTATCGGATGCTCAAGTACACGGGGGCGTATTGTGACGACGTGCGGCATGGGCGCGGTATGCTGTACTTCACCAACGGCGATGGCATTGACGGCGACTTTGTCTGCGGACACGTGCACGGCGCGGCCGAGTACGTATTTGCATCCGGTCGACGCCGGCGCGGTCGCTGGGAGCACGGACACCGAGTAGCGTGGGCCGACGCTGAGAGCAACCAAGACGACGACATCATCGCGCGCGCGAGCACCGTGCCTGAAAAGGAGGCTGCATCGCCCGACTTGCCGACCTCCAAGGCAGGGTCCAAAGGAGCGTCCAGTCCATGGAGCACTTCCACGATAGACAAACTGTCTATAACATGACAGACAATATTGGTGTCGTAAATGGCTCCCACGTACGTCTCGTGAATGCCGGCACCGCGCTCGAGCCCACTCAAGATACCGTCTCCACCAATCAAATGCCACCACTGTATTCTTCGAATTTTCAAAACCGATTGAGTTTGAGAATACTGCGCAGCAGATGGGCACGTGGGGACAGGCCGTTGTCAGGCGCGCACCGTGCGCGGTCGTCTACGTGGCGCCGCAGCTGCTGCCCATGGCGCTATTGGCTAGCTCCTTGGACGAGTTGGGTGTCGAGACCATTCGCCTCATCATGATTGTGGTCGTCGCGGTCGCCGCCTTCACGCGATCGCTCGACGCTGGGCGTACGTTGCTCGCGCGCCGCCTCGAGGCTCACGTTGCTATGCTGTCTTGTAGCGTACTTTCTGGCGCATGGCCTTCTCCACCTGTTGGCCATGAGCACCGCAGTGCTGCCGCCGCCTGCAGCGTGGCTCCTGCTGTTCATCCGCGCCATCCTGTTCCATGAGGTCGTCGCCATCGCGCGCTGGCCGCGCAAGTCGTACACGGCCCGCTTCAACACGACCACGGCGAAGCTCGAGGCCTTCTTTCGCTTGCACGACCCAGCGCGGCTCAAAGAGGCGCGTGCTCTCGTACGCGAGTACTTTGGGAATGAGACCCTCCTCTTTGCAAAACTAGACGACACCTACATGCGGGCCACGCCCGTTGTCGTGGCGGCGGTACCCCGAGGTTAACCCACGCCTCGCTCAACGCTGTAGCAAGGGTCGGAGAGCACACTTTTTACATTTGCTTGACCAGAAAGTGGCAACTGAAATGCAAAAATGACAATAATGTCTTGCGCTCTTTCCGTGTCAAGATATATATATATATATATAAACTACACATTTCTATTCGAAACAAAGCCCTTGGTAGATTTTCCGAAATTATGCAGAAGCGGGCGTCGCCGACGTGCATCTAATGCAGTGTGATTGCAGCGTCGGCCACGGGCATAACTTGCACAAGCACATTGTATGGAGAGGTCAGCTACCGCAGGATCCAGCAGTAAAAAGAACCGGCAACCATTTCTCTGATTCCCTTGCCTCGGGTAAGAACAAATTTTTATAGGGACAACCTCGCACAGGTAGCTACTGAATCAGTGTCATATCGCAGAACGAATGGTAACATCGTTGGTTCCAGGCATATAGCAGGTGCAGGTATTTGCTTGGCTCTAGTTGATGCGCTTGCAGTAACCACGTCATTTCGATACCGCCAATTGTGCTTCAGAAAATTGTGATATCGCACCTTGAGTCTCCTTGGTCCGAAGTGAACAAGACAGCCACCGAGATACGACCGCTGTCATCGCTCCCAATGCAAATACCAATCGATTAGTCGACGACAATGCGTCATTATTGTCGGTGGCGATGCTGCTCTTCCACTTGGCGGCCTCCTTTTCAACCCACGTTATCAATTATCCCGCCTCATGGACCAGAGAGTGTAACGCTCGGAATGTATGTCGTGATGAGCGACCTGGCCAGCGCGTTGATCCTGACCATCTGGTGACGATGCGGTCCGTCGCGAGCGCGATGATCATCACAACCGCACCAATATTGCGATTTGACGGATCGGTCGTCGCCACTCACTTTTCCATTTTCCCTCATCCAACAACTACCATGCAGACAAAAGACGTCGACAGCTACGCGCTCGTCACGACGCCCAAGAACAACGAAGCGCCACCGAGCGAGACGCCGACGAACACCGCCCCGATGGTGTCCTTCGCCAAACTCTTTTCATTTGCCGACACGACCGACAAGGTGCTCTTGGCGCTCGGGACGCTCAGCTCGATGGTGCTCGGTGTCGCGCAGCCGCTGCAGATCGTCTTCTTCGGCAACGTTGTCAACGCCTTCAACCCGACATCGGCCACAGGCGCCGACGCATTCCGCGATAGCATCAACCGCACCGTCATCCAGTTTGCCATTATGGGCGCTGTCGTGCTCGTCACAGGCGCAACTCAGATTGCATGCTGGAACATTGCCGCCGCACGCCAGACCAAGCGCCTCCGCCACGCCTACGCGACGGCCATTCTGCGCCAGGAGGTCGGCTGGTTTGACGTCAACGAACCCATGCAGCTCGCAACCCGCGTCGCCGACACGACGCTCATCATCCAAGAAGGCATGGGCCGCAAGGTCGCGGATGCCATCAACTTTATGACGATGGGCCTCACGGGCATCGTCGTCGGCTTTGTCTACGGCTGGGACCTCACGCTGGTGCTTCTCGCGCTCTCGCCGTTCGTGGCCGGCAGTGGCTACTACATGGTCAAGACGATTGCAGCTGCGACCCAAGGCGGCGTCGAGGCGTATGCAGAGGCGGGCGGGGTCGCTGAAGAAGCACTGAGCAACATCCGCACTATCCACGCGTTCAACGCGATGCCGACGGTCGTCAAGAATTACATGGCGGCCTTGCGCAAGACCGAAGCTGCCGGCGTCAAGAAGGGCCTCGCGGTCGGCCTTGGCACTGGTGGCATGTTCTTTGTCATCTTCTGCACGTATGCGCTGGGCCTGTACTACGGCGCCGTCCGCGTCAGCACCGACCAGATCACGGACAAGTGTGTCGGCAGCGGCTGCTACGACGGTGGCCGCGTCATCATCGTCTTCTTCTCCATCGTCATGAGCTCCATGGCGCTCGGCCAGGCCGGCCCTGGTGCGCAAGCCATCTTTGCGGCCCGCGCGGCGGCCTACAGTGTCTTTGAGCTCATCGAGCGCGAGTCCAAGATCGACGCGAGCGCGTCGACGGGCAAGACGCTGCCGACCGTCCAAGGCGAGATCGCGCTCTCCAACATTTCGTTTGCGTACCCGTCGCGGCCCAACGTCCAAGTGTGCGCGGGCTACTCGTTGCACATTCCGGCAGGCCAAAA